AAAAAATTAAATGGGTTTTCCTCCAGTTATTAACTTGCCCCCTTGGGATAAAGGATTTGTTTTGCCAATATTTGGAATTAGAGCTCCACTTTTAATTTAATCTAAATTTTTGAAAATACCCCCCCCAAAGTTTAAAATTTTATGGCGGCCCAGGTAGAAAAATATTTGGGATGCGCCAGGAGTAAAACCATTTTTTATCAAATTTCCCCCCAATTTTATTTTTTCAAATGAAAAACTTTAAATATTTCTAAACCAGCTAAAATTTGAACCGGTTAATGGGAATTTTGAAACACCGGAAAATTTTAATATAATTGAAGAAACTTGCTGGTATACCCAGCCGAAAGAAGCTTTTTGATAGGGCAATGAGGTGCAAAAATCAATTTTTCCCCTTACGTTTTCATATTTAAAAAAATTTAACTTATCCTCAGGTACTGGGAAATTCCGGTTAATTATTTTTTATCCCCAATTTTTTTTTAATAAAAATTTTTAAAAAAAAAAAAAAATGGGTTAAGAATATTTTTAAAATAAAAAAAAAAAATTAAAAAAAAAAAAAAAAAAAAAATGTGGGAGAATAGGAAAATAGACATACATTCGGTTTCTTTTAAAACTTCACCATTTGAAAATAAAATATTATTATTACTATATATTACAAAAACAAAAAACAATAATAAAGTGTAAGATAGAGAACCCATCTTAACTTTTTATTTTTGTGTGTGTGTTGGAAATGAAAATATTATAAAAATAAAAAAATAAAAATAAAAAATAAATTTTATAAAAAAATTTAAAAAAAATAAAAAAATTAAAAAAATTAAAAAATGTTTACAAAATAACTTTCAACTTAATGGTTGCAACCATTAAAACCTGCTCCTGGTTTCCCAAAGATCCGAATATCTCAAAAAATTATTTTTTCAATTCCAAAAAATATCTTGATACCCTTTTTTTTTTAAAATTCGTAAAAAAAAAAAAAATTTTTTTTTTTTTGAAAAAAATAAAAATCCACGAATTTGGAATTATTTTATTAAGAATTTTTTGAAAAAGAAATAAAATAAATTGATTATTAATATCTATTTTTGAAACTAAAATTAAATATTAACATCATATTAAATACAATAAAATTTAAAATCATAATGTGCATTATATATGAAATATTGGATTATATTAATGTTGTGTTGGTAGGTGTACAATTGTTGTGTTTTTTGCTGTAAAAAATTCAAATTGTATATCATAAGTATTGTTTAATTTTTAAAAATAAAAATAAAATAATAATAATAAATAAGGTTATTTTTAGGGATTTTTGTGGTGACTATTTGATTTAATTTAATTTAATTTAATTTTATTTTATTTAATTTTACTTAATTTAATATAATTTAATATAATTTAATTATATTCTTGTATGTTTCAAATACTACTATAATTTATAGTGGCTTTTAAAATATCTTTTTGAATGATAAATAGAATTTATTTTCCAAAAATGGTAGTGTTTTTAAAAAAAAAAATTAAATTAAATTAAAATAAAATAAAAATTAAGATAATATAGTATAAATTTAATATTTTTAATATAATAAGTGACAACAACAAATGTCTTTTTGTAAAATTACAACTGAATGATGTAGATATTTTCTTGTGGTAATCTATTTTGTTGTTGTTATTCAAATGATGATGTGATTCTAAAAAAATAAATAACAATTTGCCATCTTTTAAATATTAATAAAAGAATATTTTAACGATTTTGTTGTCGTATTAAACTTTAATTAGAAAAAAAAATACAAATAAATATTAAATAGATAAAAAAAAAAAAAGTGTGTGTATAATTTTATTTTAACCTACATTCTCACACTTAAACACTCCTTCACACACAAAATATAATTTAATTTTTTTAAAATGTATCTATTTGTTTTTATTAACATTTAAAGTAAAAGAATAAAATTTTATAAAAAAAAAAAAAAAAAAATTATGTTTTATAAAAGGTAAATTTGGTATTATAATCACACAAACGGCGTGCACCACACTCGAAGACAAAAAAAAAATTATAAAAAGAAGGAAAAAAAAAATAAAAATAAAAAAAAATTAAAAAAAATAAAAATTAAAAAAATTATAAAAAAAAATTTATTTAACCATATTCTCTTTTTTAATTTTAAATACAATTATATTTTTCAAATATTATATATATATATCATTAAAATTTAATATATAAAAAAACGAAAAAAATATAAAATAGCATTATCCACACTTTTTTTTTATTTTTTTTTTTTTCTGTGTATATACATGCATATTATCTCCCACTTATAATAAATTAAAAAAACCAAATTGTTGAATGCACGCAAAAAAGAAAAAGAAATAAAGATTTAAAAAATTAAAATATAGTAATTTAATAAATAATATTTGAGTTTTAAAAAATAATAAAAACATGGTATATGAAAATGAAAATTCTTGTATAGTCTCACATATTAATAATAATAATAATAACAAAATTAATAAAAAAATAGCCAGTAATAATCAAATCCAAAATCAAAGTATAAATAACTATTTAATAAACAATATAAATAATAATAGTAAAATAAAAAAAAATAAAAAAAAAATAAAATATGAATATTTAATACCAGATTATATAATTAAAAAAATAATATCATATTTGATGGATGATGGATTCAACGATTTAATAATATGCGATAGTTCCAATAGTAATCATAGTAGCAATAACTATAACAATTATAATAAATATAGAAAATCAAATACAATCAAATTAAAAAAGTTTAATTTAGACTTTAGCTATTCACTAGTTTGTTGGAAATGGTTTAATATCACCACCAAAATGAACACATTCTTACCATTAAGATTCTTGGTATCAATTATAAATAGAAACAATGACAAGGACAACAACTACTTTTATTCATTATTAAATCATCACTTGGGGGCTCAAGAAAGTGCAAGTAATGGTGTCAGCAAGATGCTCAGCAATGAAGAAAAGATTTATAAAAAAAGAAAGCAATTACTTGAAGATGAAGAGGAGAATAAGAGATTAAGTAGCAGCAGTTTATTATATACCTCATTGAAGTTTGGTAGAATTCAATTCAATTATTTAACAGAAATAGAATTTGATAAAATATTACCAACATGGCAAAACTCATGGCAACTATTATCCAACGAATCACCAAATTTAGAAAGAATTTCACTAGTTATTGTTGTAGGTAATGATAGTCCATTTGATATCTTTGAAAAGTTTCCTGCCAATTTTACAAATACCATAAAGCTGTCTCTAAAGTTGTTTTTTAATGACCTCTATTGTAACTTAGAGTCGATTGACCACTATACAAAGAGTAGCAGATTGCCAAAGAATCTAAACGTAGAATTTATTCATTGTTTATGTAACATTAGTCAAGAAATGAATTGGGATATAGTGAATTTTTTCAAACCTAAAAAGCTCCTCTTAGACAGCTCCTATGATTCAACTATTCACTATGGGTATTCAGATTTATTTAATTTTTATAATCAACAACAACAACAACAACAGATTAATATTGAAGATCAAGAAGAAACAAATGAAATAATAATTAATAATCAACAACAAAATCATCAATATATTCAAGAAATTGTTATTAAATCACATGATTTTATGGATTTAAAAGATTTCAAAGAAGCAATTGAAAATAATTTATTAAGCAGTATCGAATGTTCATTACTTTTAAATGACCTATATTGTTTTGAGCATATCATCCCAGAAGTTGGTGGGGAGGCATATTGGGACTCAATAGCAATTGATACAAATGATGAATCACATTCAGTCAGAAAATACATACATGACATTGGCATGGCACTATCAAATAATACGAGTTTAGAAACACTAGTTATTCATGACTTTTATAGATACTACGAAGATGATGATCAAACTATTTACAGTGGCGTTGGTATTGAAAATGCATTCTTGGATGAACCACCAGTGTATGAAATGGAACAATACTCTCATGATGATAGTGGTGATATAAACCCATTCAATTTGACAAGTAAACAATTTAAAACCTTTGCAACTTTATTTTCAGAGGCATTGATGAAGAATACAACTTTAAAAAGTCTTGCAATTTCTTGTTGGGACACATTATTGGCCGATAATCATAAATTTCAAAAACAAAATCAGCAACTACAGCTGTATGATGATGACAACATTAGCGATTATGAAAACAACAACAACAATAATAATGGCTTTTATGAAGATTGTGGTAATAGTGCACAAGATATCAGTTTAATTGACAATTCTATTTTCTTTAAAGCAATTTCAATGAACCAAACTTTGGTATCTCTATCACTAGTCAATGAAGTCATCAACGAAAACGATTTAAAATGTTTAGGTTACAATCTTCTAAAGAACCATTCTATTTCATTTTTAAATCTATCAAACAACAATCTTAGTGATACTGATTCATTATTAGAGTTTTTAATCTATTTAAATCGTCGTCATACTCCCAGCAACAATTCTACACCTACTGGTGCAAATTTACAAAACCTAAATCTTTCAAAGAATATATACTCTCCAATTAGCTCACCCAGTTTAATCTATAAACATATTCAAATGAATAAATCATGCTCAAGACAAATTATTTTACCAATCTGTTTGGAATACAAAATTAATATTTTAAATCAAAATAAATTGATTAATATTTTATTTAAATAAAATTAAAATAATTTAATCATTTTAAATAAATAATTTTTAAAAATCTCCACCACACAAATTTTCTCTTTTATTTTAATCTTATATAAGCATTTTTTTTTTTTAATTTATAATAAAATCTAAAACTATTTATAATTTGTTTTTTAGTTTTATTATATTGTGTTGGTATTTTATAATTATATTTTATATTTGTAAAAAAAAAAAACCGATAACTTGTTGATTTTTTTGTTTTTTTTATTTTAATTTTTTTATTTTTTTTTTTAATTTTTTTCAATTTTTTTACCCCAATCCACCATTTTTTTTTTTTTGTTTTTTTTAAATATTTATTTTATTTATGTTTTTGTGTGTATATGTATATGTGTGTAAATTATAAATAAACCACATTATTAAAACAAAAAAAATTAGATATTAATTTTAATAAATGTCTTCAGATAAATTTAAAAGACTAAATGAAGAAGATGAAAATGAAAATGATATTGAATTAAATAATTTAAATAGTAATAATAATAATAGCAGTAATAATAATAATAATAACGATGATAGTAATAATAATAATAATAATGACAGTAATAAATCAACATTTTCATTTAATCCGATAAATCAAATTCAAAATGTTTTTAGCAATATAGATTTAAATCCATTGAATGTGGATTTTCAAGTACACAGAGATAGATTTGTAAATTTTTTTCAACATGGTTCAGATGATATAAATAATAGAATGCAAACAGTCGTGTCAAAGATTCGTTCGAATGAATATAGAAAGAAGATGCATACAGTTTTAACAAAGATTAAAGATACAAAGGAATATCAATCAACCTCAAATACCGATTACGATGTAATTTTCGAATCGGTCGATATGTATTCCAATCTTCAAGCCGATCCAACATTAGACAAGGATGAAATCGATGTCGTTACAGATATTACATCATATAAAAAGAAATTTACACATTGGCTTGCAAAAGAACGTATTTCAACATTACTATTCATTCCAATCTTGGGTATATTGGTCGCTATTATGGGTTTATTTTGTGACTTCCTTTTAATGGAGCTAAGTGCTCTTCGTACATTCATCACCTCTCAACATCAAAATGGCCAGAATGTTCGTTATGATTTTATCGAGGGTTTAATATTTGTAGGTTATAGTGTAGCTTTTGCTTTCTTTAGTGTATGCTGCATTAGTTTCATCTCCCCCTATGCCGTCGGTTCGGGTATCCCTGAGATGAAGTCTATTATGTCTGGTATTAATCTCAGTCGTGTATTGGGTTTGAAAACATTGGTTTCTAAAATTGGTGGTATGGTTTGTGCTACTGCCGCTGGTTTAACTATTGGTCGTACTGGTCCATTCATGCACGCATCTGCTATTATTGCCCAAGAAATGATGAATCTTAGATTCTTTGCAAACATTAAAAAGAACCAAATCGTAAGATATCAAATGTTAATTTGTGCTCTAACTAGTGGTGTTGTTGCAAATTTTGGTGCTCCTATTGGTGGTTTATTATTCGCTATCGAGGTAACTGCTACCACTGCTGTAATGGGTAATTTATGGAAAGGTTTCTTTTGTGGTACCACAACTGCTGTTATCTTTTATTTCACTAGATTCCTCTTCAAGGGTGAAAGTTTTCAATCGGTCTACTCTTTTAACTTTATCTCAAAGACATATGGTATTTTAGATCTTATTACATTTGTTATCATTGGTGTAATCACTGGTCTTATTGGTGCTTTCTTTGTATTTGTCTATGAGAAATTAGTACGTTTCCGTCTCCGTTACCCAATTTTAAAACAAAGTCGTATTGGTTTAGTTGTGGTAATTGCATTACTTAGTGCTACCATCACATATTTAGCTGGTCCATTCTGTCGTATCCCATTATCAAAAGCCATGAAAGAGTTATTAAAGGAGGGTGATCCTGCTGATGGAACCTTTACCGCAGCCGATTCACCAAACTACAAATACTATAATCTTTTGGTATTTATCTGTTGCAAACTTTTATTAACTGCATTCAACATTATTCTCCCAATCCCAGGTGGTGCTATTACCCCATTCATTGTAACTGGTGCTGGTTTAGGTCGTCTATTTGGTGAGGTATTAAAAGACTTCTTTGACTCTGAAGCAATTTCACCACAAGGTTATGCCGCCATCGCCTCGGCTGGTTTGGTATCTGGTACAATTCGTAATATCTCACCATCTATTTTCGTATTGGAATTAACTGGTCAAATTTCATTATTGGTACCAATTTTAATTTGCTCAATTACATCAACCGCTACAGGTAATATGTTAAATAGACCTCTTTTCGATACCGCTTTAAAGATTCAAGGTTTACCATTTTTATCAAATTACAGAAGTTCAAAGGTTTATATCATGACTGCAAAACAAGTTATGAGAAAGAATATAAACTTCCTTTCAATGAGAAGTACTGTCAGAGAAATAAGAGCATTTCTTGAAAACTTTAGATACACTTTTATACCAGTTGTAGATTCAAAAGAAAACATGCTATTGGTTGGTATAGTAGAAAGAAGCTCAATTATGTATATGGTTGATAATCATATTGAAATTATGGAAAGTAAATTAACCGAGTTTAGGGAAAAATTAAAATCTAATATAAAACAAACAAATAATAATACAAGTATTAGTGGTGCCATATTAACAACTATAGATAATAAAATAAATAACAATAACTATCAGCAAGAGGACGAAGAAGAGGAAGAGGAACATCAAAGATTAATTCAACAATATAATGAAAATAAAGAACTTCATGGAGATAATAATAATAGCACAGGTAGCAGTAGTAACAGTAGCAGCGATTTTGAAGTAATACCCAAAAATAAAGAAACTTTAGAATTAGTAAAAGAAATTGAAGATGAAAATATTAGTTTGGGTAGTGATGAAAGTAATAATAATAATAATAGTAATAGTAATAATAATGAAGACGATGACGAAGAATCAGATCCATTAGTTAATCCTTCAAAACCAATTTTAAGAAACAGACATGATCATACAACAACTACAACAACCACAACATCTACAGAACCATCAAATTTCAATTATAATACAATAAACAATAATAATATAAATAATAATAACAATAACAATAACAACAATAATAATAACAATAACAACAATATTGATAATGATTTCCATAGTTTTGATATTTCAATTGATGATTTAAAACTCAAGGGTGAAGATATTTGGGGTGAACATATTTTTGGTGATATTATCCAATCTGGTGAATCAGCAGTATTAATGGATTTAGCACCATCTCAAGTCCCAGATTTAACTCCTCTCAACAAAGTATTCCATTTGTTCACAATGTTAGGTTTAGGTTTTACTTTTGTCACTTCAATGGGCAGATTAGTTGGTGTAATTACTAAAACTGATTTAATGAACCAAGATTTATAAATAAAAAAATAAAAAAAAAAAAAAAAAAAAAAATATATTTAATTATATACCATATTAAAATAAATAACAAATAAAAAGTTTTATCTCTTTTTTTTTTTTTAAAAATATAATATAATGTTTATTTAATTTGATTAAAATGGAATTAGAATTTTTTTTTTTTATATTTATTTTAGTTAATGATTGAATAATATTTATGTCATGTTATCATATATATTATTATTTGATGATTGATCCTGTGTATCTATCTTTTTTCTTTGTTTAAATAGTGGAGTGCTAAATAAGAGGTAGCGAAAAAGAAGACTGTCCATAAAACAACTATACCAAAACTATCACCTGCTGTCCATTCATCAATACCATAGTACATTAGAACTTCATTTCCATTATTGAATTGACATGGAATGGTGTAATTACCATTAGTTTGCTCTACACATTTGAGATCTAAATCTTTGAATTGAACCTGCATTAATGATACGAATGAATAGAAAATGGGATTGATATAGTGGAGCCAACCAAATGCTTTTGGTAATTCTTGGACTGGAACAAAGAAACCTGCAAATAACATATAGACTACTGACAAACCGGAACCATATGCAAATGTTAAATCACTAGCACCTGTCAAATTTGCAAGAGTGCAAATTAGATAGTCAGATAACAAGTGAACAAAGAAATAATTTAACATTGCAAAGAAAAAGGAACCTGCATCCCAACGTAGATGGGCAAGAAGATAACAAACCATAGCATTGATAAGGGCCACCAAGAAGACCACCAAAGCTTCTACGGTGACTAGAGAGAGGTAGTATGGGAATGAGTGATAGACTTTTGAAGCTCTTTCAGCGTTGAACAAAGTACGTTGACTAATAAAGATTGAAATGGCAGCGAATGGGGTTAAATTTAAACCAGTGATTAAAAAGAAAATGACACCAATGATTTTTTGTACATCTTTGTCAGTTTCTTTTAAACCAGCAAAACAAGCACCATAAAGTAAACCTGTGACTACAGCTGTTCCAACTCTTGCAATAAAATTACCTGGATTTCTTAAGAGATCTTTCCAAGAACGCTTCAATAGATAGTAGTATTGATATTGCAATCCGATGGCTTTTGGCTTTTCAAGTGCAATTTGAGGTTGGGTAATTTCATTGACAATTTCATTTTCCCAAGTCTTTTGCCATTGTGTGCAAATTTCTTCATAACGATCGCCATCTCCAATTTCTACAGCTGTATCTAAACAATAATCTGCTGGATTCATATTATTTGGACATTTATAACCTAACTGTTCAAAATATTCCAATATATTACTGCCACTGTAAATCATTTTACCTTTAATAACAACCATAACTTTGTTAAATAATTCGAAAATTTCTATAATTATAATGAATATTAGATTAGTATTAATCTCCTTTTGATATTATTTTAAAATATAGTATTAATAATACATACCTCCACGTGGTTGATGAATACTGGCAATAATAGTACAACCTTTAGTTTTTGTGAGATCTAATAAAGTTCTCATTACTGATAATGCAGTTACTGAATCAAGACCAGAGGTTGGTTCATCCAAGAAAATTAAAGAAGGATTAGTTACTAAACCGCAGCCAATTGAGACTCTACGTTTTTCACCTCCTGATAAACCCTTGATAAAAATGCCACCTGGTAAAATACCGCCAATCATAGCATCTCTTCTGTGGGTTAAACCTACATCTTCAATAACCTGTTCAACTCTATTAACTTTATCTTCCTCAGTCATATCTGGTAATTTCAAATCTGCATAGAATTTAATTGTTTCAAATACTGTTGCAGTTTGTAATAAAACATCCTCCTGTGTAACATAAGAGCAAAACTATAATGAAAAAAATAAAAAATATTTATTAGAATTTATTATTTAAATTTTAGTTTTCTCTTTCTCTTATTTATTAATCTTACCTTTTTATAAGCTTCACCGACTTCTTTACCATTGATCAAGAGTTTACCAGTAATTTTACCTGTTGTTTTACGTTCAGCAAGGATATCTAGTAGTGTTGATTTGCCACTACCTGATGGACCCATTAGTGCACATAATTCACCTATTATTAAAATTAAAATTTTTTTTTTTTTTTTAAATATTAATATTTTATAATTTTAAATAAAATTTATATTTTAAAAGAGATCTAATATGTAATAATAATTACCTTTTTCTATCACACCGCTAACATTGTTAAGAATTGTTAATTCTTTTTCAACTTTGATATCGGTGAAATTTGGATTATTTTCATAGTCGTCATTTTTTTTCTTTTTAGCTTCAGCTTGTTTTTTTAATTGTTTTTTGTATTTTTTATTTTCTACCCTATAAGTGATATTCTTAAAGGTTAATTGGACACCTTTTGTATTGTTGTTGCTATCCATTACAGCTGGTGTGTTGGTGGTGGTGGTTGTACTATTAATTTTATTGATATTTTCTAATTCCATTTTAATCATTAACTAAATAACTGAACTTGTATAAACTAGTTTTGTAAGCCATCTAAAATACTTTATTTAAAGAAAAAAAAGATAATGTGTTTATTAAAGAAATGTGATTTTTTTTAATTTTTAGGGATAAAAATTAAAAAAAAATTATATAAAATTTTTTAAGAATAAAAATAAATAAAAAAAGATAAAATTATTATTTATTTATAAAAAAAAATTATTTATTTATAAAAAAGAGGGAAATGTGTGAAATATAATAAAACTTTTTGTGTTGTTGAAAAAGCGTTATTATGAAAAAAAGTGTTATAATGAAAAGAAATTAAAAACAAAAAATTTAAAATTTAAACAAAAAAAAAAAAAAAATAAAAAAAAAAAAAAAATAATTCGGTTAACTAAAAAAAAAAAAAAAAAATAATAATAATTAATAATAATAATATTTTAAAAATAGAAATAGTGAAAAAGTGAAATTATGCATACACATAATCGTGTATTTATTGAAAGAATAATCTTTCACTCCGTCAAAGATAATTATGATAAAAACCAGGCCAAATTTAATTAAAAAAAAAAACAAAAAAAATTTTAAAATTATTTTGACAACTGACAAACTTGTTTTTAATTAAAAAAAAAATAAACACCACCTGTCATGAAACCATCAAACCAAATTTAGATAATGACATAATAAATGGTCATATATATTTTAAAAAAGTTATTTAAAAAACACTTTATCTAAAAAGTGATTATACAAAAATATATTTTAATTTTAAAACAAATTTGGTTGTTTTTTTAATTTTTTTGGTTTTTATTTTGTTTGCACTAATTTTTTTTTTTTTTTAATTAATAATTCATTAACTTCTATGTACAAGTAATTGAAAATATCATATGATATCTTTTTAAAACATTTTCAAAATAAAAAGTTCCTTGTTTAAATTTAAATCTTAACCCTTAAATGTTATGGGGTGGGTCGATAAAAAAACAATATATTTTTCTAAATTAATATTATTTTATTTTTCTAAATTAATATTATTTTTATTTTTTTTTTATTTTTTTTTTTATTTCGTCGCAACTTCGAAAATAGATTTATTTATTTCATTTTATTTTTTCTAAATAATTATTTTTTTAAAAAGCTTTGAATTTTATTTTTGTTTAATAAGTTTTAATTTTCGATCTCGCTTATGGGTAGGTGGTTTTACTCCAGCAACACCATCACATTCATATATTGGTGCATTAACTCCACACTTTTTACAATATATATCTCTTTCAAAGTTGCATCTTCTTCGTATACAACCTCCTCTGCAACGACCAACATTTCTCCATTCGGAAGTTTCCCATGTAAAAATTGGATTGCATGGTTGGCTATCCATTTCTTTTGGTATATTTGAACACATTGAACTATCTGATATGGTTCCATCGCATGATACACAATCTACTCTTCTATATTGAACACCGCATTCACCAGTGCATTCACCCCAATTTTGATATTCCCAATGATATGATCTTTTACCACATGATTCTGAATTTGTACCAATTAATAAAATTAAAAAAATGAAAAAAATAATAGTATTTTTCATTTTTTTAAAAAAGTTTAACTTTTATTAATTATGAAAAAAAAAAAAAAATTTATTTAAACAATGAAAAAATAAAAAAATTATTTTAAGTTTGGTTAGTTAAGTATAATTTTTTTTTAAGTTCAGTAATTATTTTATTTTTAATAAAAAAATTGATGTTAAGTTTCCATAATTTTAATTCTTTTAAAAGATAATACTTAAGTTTCGAAAGATAAGTATTCATAAAAATCTTTTTCCTTTGATAACGATCTTGCTTCAACATAAAAATTATAATTTTTTATGGTTTTATTAAAAAAAAAAAAAGTAAAAAAAGTAGGGAAAAAAAATAGTCTGAGTTTAACGTTTCAAATTTCTCTTTATCATCAAAACTTAATAAATAAATCTTTAGTAAAATGTAATACCATTAAGCTTTACTTTTTATTTTTAAAATATTTTAATAACCATTACAAACCGAAATAATTTTAGTTTTATCATTTGATATTTATATTTGAACCTAAACTTTCATTCTTATTGGATGATGCCGGCGATGTACCATTTTTAGAAACATTGTCTTTGCTCTACTTTCTGTTTTTTCCATTCTAAATTACAAATACATATCTCTTATTATAAATTAAAAAATAAAATATAAAAAATGAAAAAAATTAATATGAGGAAAATGAAAATTGTTATGTAAATAAAGGAATATTATAAAATTTTAAAGAAGAGACATAATTACTATATATGGTTTAACAAGTAATTATATTTTTCAAAAATAAATATTTTTTTTTGAATTTTTTTATTTTTTTTCAACTAAATATTTTATTTTATTAATAATTTTTTATTTTTTTATTAAAACTAATTATTTTTTTAAAAGTTTTAATTTAATGGGTTTTATCCTCGATCCCTTTTATGGTGTGATGGTTTTGCTCCAGCAACACCATCACATACATATATTGGGGAATTAACTCCACACTTTTTACAGAATATATCTCTTTCAAAGTCGCATCTTCTTCGTCTTCTAATCCCAGTCCTTCTGCAACGACCAACATTTCTCCATTCGGAAGTTTCCCATGTAAAAATTGGATTGCATGGTTGGCTATCTATTTCTTTTGGTATATTTGAACACATTGAACTATCTGATATAGTCCCATCACATGCTATACAATCCACTCTTCTATACTGAACACCGCATACACCAGAGCATTCACCCCAATTTTGATAAGCCCAATGATATGATCTTTTACCACATGATTCTATATTATGAGGTTTGTGTCCATCACAACAGATATCTTTTCTTGGTTGATTTGGTTTAGAATCTAATGCGCAATGAATCTCTCTCTTTTTATTTAATAAACAGTGACCGTCACAGGGACCCCATTGACCTTCTACCCATCTAAATTTACAAAGGTTTTGATTCTTTTGATGGAGCTCTTCTAATAATGGTTGGGTATCTGATTTGATTTTGTTGACAATTTGATTTGTTTTATCATTATTTGGTGAACCAGCCAAAAGTGTACAAATACCGACATTTAAACTCTTTTTATCTGGTTTTAATATTTCATCTAGTTTGGAGGGTTCACATCTGTTGCTTGATGATTCGTAACACTCTTGATTTGATGTTTCAATTGGTAGTAGAGGTGTGACTCTGTTTCTAGTTTCTTGAATCCAATTGTTTTTATATTGGTTTGCTTGTTCTCCTAATAAATTTGTGAATTCACTTGAACTATAAGATGAAAATGCAGAAGCTGAAATTGATTTAAATATAACTCCTTTTGATTCATCAATGATTTTTAAAATGTCTGCACCATTAGCTTCTTTACCCATGTAGATTTTACTTGATAACGAATTAATAACCATTGGTAAAACCTGATTTGAAATAGAGTATATTGCCCCAGCTTCTGAAGAGTAAGTAAGTTCATCTGGAATATCAACAGCATCGGAAAGCTCTTCAAGGAAAAACTTGACTTCATTTTTTGTTGCAGTTAATACGACTGAAGACTTGGCACCATTGCCCCAAACTCTCTTGATTGTTTGAATACTTTCTTTGTATTTATCTTCTTTTTTGAAGTTAACTTCATTAAGGTAAGAATATAGTAGTTTAGTTGTATCTAAACTATTGATTAATTCGGTTTCGTTGTCAAAATTTAAATTTAACTCTAGTGCAAGGTTGGCACTGTTGCTAAAAATCAAATTGATCTTTGGGAAATCGGTCCATTTCTTGCTTGAAATACCATTTGTGTATGCCATTTCGTTGGTGTTACATTCATCAAGTGAATTTTTGAATCTGTATAAAGATTCAAGAAAAGATGACAAAAGAGCTAATTTATTGATTAAGTTTTCATTGATTTGAAGATGTTCGGTATATGAAAATGATGAAGTGATTGACATTAAAATTGTTTGGACAATATTTAAATGGCCATCAGTCATTCCATCAGGGTCATTAGAGCCTTCACTATCTAATAATACAATTGTACCTTTTGGATCTAATTTTTTAATAGCAGATTTTAGATTTGGTGATAAACTTTTAGTGTCAATATCTGATATCTTGATTATCTGGGCCCAAATTCCTCTTGTACAGCCCCTCGATCCAACACATTTACCTTCGTTTCCTGATTTTTTTATCGTTTTCACTTGGAAAAGCCCTAAATCACAATTGTTTTTAATTTCTGGTTTTAAGAACATCATTGTATACAAATCTAACCTCGTTGATTTATGAGTTGAATAGTCCCCAATTTCTGAATATAAATAAAGAGGAGATGGCAGTTTTTTGAAAATATTGACAGCAGACTCTGGGATAATAATTTCTTTGTCATCTCTGATATCGATTAATTGGAATGAAACCATTGGACAAACAGTGGCACGGAATGGATCTTCTCCAGATAGAATAGAATCATAAAATTTGCCAAGGGAATGTGGAAAGATTGTGGACATAATGGATGAACCTACACACAAAATACTGAGGAAAATTATAAAATTTGTTGTACTATTAAATTTCAAGATTAAGAATGTGAATGGTAACAATGAGATTGAAAATAAAATTGAAATATCAATTTTGGTGTTAATGGTTATTAAAGTGATGAACAATATAAAGCTAATAATAAATACAAAGAATCTTATATTTTGATTATTAATTTTAATTGAAATTGTTAACGTTAAAGCCACTACGGTAAAAAAAACAATATAAAATAATTTTTTAAAAGTGTTGAGACCTTCTAAAAACCAATGAATATCTTGACCAACTTCATTTAAAAACTTCTCCGTTAAATTTTGCCATTTTTGAGATTCTTTTAGTGCTTTTTCGATACCTTTATAAAATCTTTTTTCCATGTAATCAATGGTTTGGAACTGACTTTCGACCAAAGATTCTTTGAGAATTAAAATAAGTTTTTTAGACTCTTCAAAAACGGCCATTCTTTCTTTTCCGATGCTATTAATAGATCCATCCATTAATTTTTCTGTTGATTCGACTGAAAATAAAGAAAAAAATTATTTTATTAATAAAAGTAAAATTTAATTAATTAAATAGTTTATATTTATACTTACTAGTAGAAATAATTTTATCTTTGAGTGCAACAGTATCAAGTTCTTTAGACTCGAATGCATTTGATAATTCTGGAATTAAAAGAGAAATTCTATTAAAACCATGATTAATATTCGTAGGGAGGTTATTTGATATTTCCTTTAATGTATCTGAAAACTTTTCAACACTTTTGATTTTACCAGAAAATAGAAATGATTGTGAAGTTGTTGCAAGTAATAAAATTAAAAAAATTAAAAAAATAATATTATTTTTCATTATTTTTAAAAATTAAACTATGAAAAAAAAAAAAAAGTAAAATTTGAAATTGGATATGATAAAAATTTTTTTTTTAAGTTTAGATATTAAGTTTAAATTCTCGCAAATATAAAAAATAAAATTATTTTATTTTTAATAAAACAATTGGTGTTAAGTTTCCATAACTCTAATTCTTTTAAAAGATAATACTTAAGTTTCGAAAGATAAGTATTCATGAAAAATATTTTTCCTTTGATAACGTTCTTGCTTTCAACGTAAAAATTATAATTTTTTATGGTTTTATTATAAAAAAAAAAATTAAAAAAGGTGATTTCCTTCCCAAACTAAAAAAAAAAAAACTTTTATTTTACATTTTTTTTTTTTACTTCTTGTATTTTTTTTTTTTTATACAATTTACAAAGAGAGAATCTTAAAAAATATTTATTGTATTCATGTTACTCTTGCCTAAGATCAAAAAAAAAATTATATAAAAACTATGGAAAAAAAAACTAAATTTAAAATATTTTAAGTATTTTTTTAAAATATTATCGAATGGTATTTAAATTAATTAAAATTAATTTTTTATATAATTTTTTTAAAAATTTTTTTTAAAAATTTCTTATTTTTTTTTTTTATTATTTTCATTAATATATTTATTTATATTAAAACTATGGAAGAACAGGATTTCGATAATTTATTTTTTAAAGTTTGGAGGAACTTATTTATAAGAAATAAAATTATTCAACACTTTAAAGTATTCATTTATAAAAAAAAAAAATTTATTTTTAGAGACCAATATTTAAGATATCCAAACAAAGAGTATTTAAAGAACGTATCAATAGAATTTACTGCCCAAGAATATAATCTTTCGTTATTGTCTTCACTTGAAACACTTAGTTTTGGTTTCCAATTTGACCAACCACTTAGCCAATGTTCTATTCCACATTCAGTTAAACATCTAACATTAAGTAGCGATTTCGATCAAATAATTAATAAAGGAGATTTACCAAGTTCATTAGAGAGATTGGTTTTTGGATATAGTTTTAACACACCACTAAATGAAGGATCTATACCATCTTCAGTTACTTCCATAACATTTAGTAATTGTTTCAACCAACCACTTACAAAAGGATTGATACCCCAATCTGTTAAAATATTAAAGTTGGGAGAATTTTTCAATCAACCACTTTTCGAAGGATCAATTCCACCATCTGTAGAAATTATAAATTTTGGTAAATATTTTAATCAACCACTCTCACCAGGAATTTTACCATCATCTGTGGTCGAATTAACATTTTTAGGTCAATTTAATCAACCTCTTGAAGCAAGATCTATACCTCATTCAGTCGAAATACTAGCATTTAGTGATAACTTTAATCAACCACTTAAACCAGGAGATATACCACCATATGTAAAAACACTAATATTCGGATATCATTTTAATCAACCACTTAAACCAGGCGATATACCACATTCAACGGAGACTATAACTTTAGGATATGGATTTACCCAACCACTTATTCAAGGATCGATACCACCATCAGTTACAACAATAATATTTAGTAATAAAAAAACTCAAAAACTTTCTTTAAAAGCAATTCCATCAACAGCTAAGGTAATGACATTTAGATAAATCACCTTATTTTTATTTTAAACTGTAAAAATAAATAAAAATAAAAACATATTGTAAATCTAAAAACTTTAAGATCTATTTTTTATTTATTTTATTTTACAAAAAAAATTTTTTGATTTTTTATCTATTTTTATCTTTTATTTATGAGTAATGAATGAATCCATTTATGGAATGTTTAAAAAAAAATTCTATTATTTTATTTTATATTTTTTAATTTTTTTTATTTTTTTATAATTTATTTTTTTTTTTTTTTTTTAATTTTTTTTTAAATTCGTTTTATCATTTTATAAATAATAATAAATGGTTATAAAAAATAACAAATAATTAAATAATGTATTTTTCAAAATCACAAACAAATAGAATTGTATTTAAAGGTGAATTGGGAATTTTTAATAGATTACAGTCAATATATCATGATTCTCAATTTGTTAAGAGAACCCAAGAATCATTATATCCAGGGTTACCATTAATAGCAAATTTAAGGTGTGGTGCATGGTATTCTGATAAGTTTGATGCAACAGTTTATTTCAAATCGACAGATGGGCATTTTGGTAATTGGAGTTTTAGCACCAATAGATTAAACCTACATTTATTAGATATAATAATCAAAAAGAAAGCAGCAATTATAATAGATTCAACAAGAAAAGGAAAAAATTTCCCAGACTCCTTTAGTCGAACTATACCGATATGGACCTGTGTTATAAATAGAACCTTATTGCATTTGAAGATCGAAAATATAAAAAGAAATCACCAAAATGAAGCATCAGCTAATCAATTAATTTCAATATTAGAAAATCGATGGAACAGCGAACTAAATACACCAAATTGGGTACCACCCACCGAAAAAAATCAAATAGAAAAGCTAGTTATAAATAAATTTGTAAAAGAGTTACTAAAATGTGGTGCAGATCTTAGCAAGTTTACAGAGTCAATCGATAAACCTCTTCGACCTATTTGGATTAACACAGAATCAATTCTATGGACAGATTCAATAGTTAATCCAGACGATTTAGATTTTCATCCATTATACTTGGTATCATGCTCAGATCACAGAAGAGAAGGTCACCCATCCTATCGTTCATATGTTCAAGGCGCTGGTGACGATGAAGAAGGTTGGAGTTATGGCCTAACACCACAACTATTTTGGTCAAACTGTAAAGAAATTCTAGATATACAACAGGATTGTTTAGAAGATTTTATTTCAAATTTATTATTGGAATCTAAAATTAAATCTATATCAATAGATCAACAAGAAAAAAGTGATAATAGTGGTAATGACAATAACCATAATAATATTCATATGAACAATAGGTATACAGATGAAGGTACAGAAAATATTGGTGATTTAAATTTTACAGTTAGTAATAGTTTAAAATGTTTAAATAGTGTTTGGAGCAAATTCGATGTAATATTAAACTGTTCAGAAATAACATATGAGGGTATTATCACAGAGTCAAGCCCACAGAAACATAAAGACAACTATTTACATTTACCAATTAGAGAGGGTAAAATTGGCAAAAACGATTTACAACAACAACTTCCATTGGCCGAGAAATTTATAATAGACAGGATAAAAGAAAATAAAGACTATAAAATATTATTACATTCAACTACAGGCAAAGCAAATTGTGTTTCAATTTTATTATCAATTATAACAAAATATTTTTTAAGATACCCAGATACAAATAATAATAATAATAATTTATCCCAAGACCAAAACTTTTATTTTAATTTTTCAGAAAATCCAAGATCAAATATTAATAAAGATGATATTAAAGTATCATATTTATTTATAGAGAAATATTGCAGCCAATCATTACCCTGTAAAGCAATGAGAAATTCAATTAATAGACATCTAATGTCCCCAGATCAATCTGTACTTCATAAAGGTTTTGTTTATAATAAATAAAATTATATATTATATATTATAAACTATAATATATAAAAAAATTTGTAAAGTTTAATTTAAATCGAGAATAAAGATATATTTATAAATATAAATAAAAACATTTTATAAAACCATGTTATTTTTTCATATTTTTTTTATGTTTGCACTTTTTAACGGGTTGTTTTGGTACCTGTCTATTTTATTTGAATAACGACAAGTTGAAGGATTCGTGTAGTTTCAACAATTGCTTAATTGCTTTTTTAACCTAACTTTCTTTCACCCACTTGCAATGCAGCTAATAGAACATATTCATTTCTTTTTTCAAATAGTTTCAAATATGTTTTTGATGTTTATAAATTATAACTGTACAAAATATCTGGTAATTGTTCCATGAGGAGCTGGCATACCAGGTAAAAAAAATTATATAAAAATATAAAAAATTTAATTTTGTTGATCTTTTCTGGTCCAATTTTTCTTTAAAAATTTATTTATTTACAATTATATCCAAATATAATGATATTTTGATATTGATAATTTACAACTATAATAAAAAAAATAATAATGAAATATTATTTTTCATCAGATTTAAATTTCCATTCAGATCTGCACATAGGACCTAAATTTAATTTATAAAAATAAAGAAAAAATTAGATTATTATATTCCTAAGAAAAAAAATTTAGATATTGTAGGGTATTATGATTTATACATTGTTGTAATTCGTTTGAATTTAACCACTTTAAAATACAATGCATATGAAATGCATGATTACAGACACCCCAAACTGGTGGGCAATCATCACCTGGTATTTTACAATCTACACAACATCCATCAAAGGGCATTCTACAAATACCACAACATTCATCATTTACATTCCAATGCCATGAACTAACTGTATTCCATCTAATATAAATAAATAATAATATTTTATTAATAAATCCAAATTGTCTGCACCTGTATTAATCATCTATTTAATATATACTCTGTATTAAAATATTAAATATTAGTATTAAATTTAATAATATTGCAGTGGTTTAAAAATAAATACTACTTTTAATGGTTACTTTCATTGTGGTTTCTTGTTATAAAAAAATTAAAAAAATAAAAAAAATAAAAAATTTGAAATTAAAAAAAAAATAAAAAAAATAAATTTAAAAAAAAAAAGGAAAAAATAAATTTAATTTGTTTGAATGATAGTTATAATAAGTTAAATATTGGTTATATAACTATTTTATTTGAATTTTTTAAAATTTTTTAAAAAGTTCAACCCCAATGAATATTTACTATTATGGACTGAATTGAAGGAAGGAGCAACAAAACTATTAATATAACTATTTAAAACTACTTGGTTGGATAATGATTGGTTATTCAATTTAAAATTAAAATTTTCCATGTCTTTTTTAGGGTTATTTGCAAAAATATTTTTGTAAAATTTAATTTCTGAATTTTCATGTGATCTTTTTAATTTTAGTGTGTTAATCATTTCGGAATTAAAATCTTTTAATCTTTCGTTAGGAACACCGTGACCACAACCGTTGATTATTGAAAAGCATTCGGGTTTGATGATATTCAATAGATTGAGTGTATCTTTGAATGGAAATAGTGCATCATTTGTTCCATATACTAGTGATATTGGAAAATCCCTTTGGTTCAATATGAGTTTATCTTCATCGGTTACAATGAAATTAAAAGAACTTTTAAATTGATCTTTAATAACTTCCTTTGATATTTTACTCCTTTCTTTAAGTTGCTTGGTAAGAGCATTTTTTATTTTTAATTTCATTGATTTATTGTTTTCATCTTTTGAATTTAAAAAATCATTTGAAAAAAATAATTTTTCAAATGTTTTTAAATCTTTTTTGTAAATACTATCCATCATTATTGAACATTCGGCAATAAAGTTTTTATATGGGGGTTTCATGGAGGATAGAAGCAAAGAATTCACTCTATGGGGTGCATACAATGCAAAATCATATGAAACTTGTGAACCAAAAGATGTAGAAACTATGTGTGCTTTATCCCATTTCAAATAATCTAAAAAATCTTCCATATCCATTGAATAATCCCTAATACCGGTAGTTGGATAGAACTCTGACCCATCAATACCACGGTAATAAAAGCTTGCGATCTGATATTGTGGATAATTTTTAAGCAAATATTTAATTTGATGTTTCCATGTAGAAGGATTGCTTAATATTCCCATTACCAAAACTAGTTTTTCGTTTCCATTTCCAAAAACCTCATATTTTAACTTGATTTGTTTGTTTCTTTTTTTTCCTGATAAAAAAAAACCATTTTTAGAAAAGTTATAATTAATATTACTCATTTTTTAATTAATTACTATTTTAAAAAAAAATAATTTATATTTATTTTTTCTTGTTTAATTAATTAGAAAATATAAATATAATTAATAAAGTAATCTGATAAAGATAAAATTTTCCTTTTCCAACAAAATTTATTAAATATTTATCTGTAAATAAAAATTTTTTTAGATTAATTATATTTTCAGATAAAATTTAAAAAACATATTTAAGGACTTTATATTGAATTAATTAATTAATTTAAAAAAACAATAGCCCTTGAGTATTAATTGAAACAAAGACTTTAAGATAGAATAAAGAAAAAACAATAAAAATAAAAAAAAATTTATTGAATTTATATTATAACAATTGTTTATATTGTGTTTGTGTTTATTGTTTATTATTTATTAATGTTGATAAACTAACATTTAGATTTTGCTTCTTGAACGAATTTCTCTTCAAATTGAGATTTGGGGGTCATTGAAGCGGCAATTAAAAAGTATTCTTTAGCTTTTTCGATATTTGATAGTTTTAAATAAGTATCTCCTATAGAAACAATATTACGAATAAATGTTGGGTCATACTTGTATACGTCTAAAAAATATTGAAGAGCCTCTTCAAAAGTAGCATTGGGGACAGCACCAAACAAAGTATTAGCTAAAGTACGCTCGATCCATGAAATCGATGCAACAGAGAATGCCCATTTACCCAATACAAACAATGCAACAGTATCATTTGGTTTTATAGATAATGACTTTAATGCATATTCTTTAATTTTAGGGGCATTTGCAACTTTTTCTTTAGCTGTAATATAATCTCCCAACCCAGCTGTTGTAACAGCCCACCACTATTTAAAAAAAAAAGTAATTAATATTTTTTTTGTTTATCTATTTTTTTATTTAATTTAATTTTTTATTTATTTATTTATTTATTTATTTATTTATTTATTTATTTATTTATTTATTTATTTAATTTGTTGCTTGTTGTTGTTTGTTTGCTTGTTTTTTTATTTGTTTGTTTATTATTTGTTTGTTTATTATTTGTTTGCTTGTTTATTTATTTATTTGTTTATTTACTTTATTATTTTATTTATTAATTTATATTTTTATTTGTAATATTTTATACCTTTAATAAATCTGCATTATTTGGATCTATTTCTAAACCTTTATTAACTAATTCTAATGACTTGTTAATATATTGAACTTTAATATCCCTTTCATTTTCACAATCTGCTTGATTAAAATAACCTCTTGCTAATCTCCAAATGATTTCACAATTGTTTTCATCTTTTTTTAATTCCTCTTCTAAATAATCTATAATTTGTTGATGGTGACACTTGCTATGTAATTCATCTGCTTTTTTTTCAATTTCCGGCATTTTAGATAAAAAATAATATTACAAATAAATAGTGGATTAATTATTATGTATAAATGATAATAAAAAAAAAAAAATTTTAAAAAAAAAGGGTGTTAAATTAAAAAAAAATTAAAAAATTAAAAAAAATAAAATTTAATTTAAATTATTAATACACAACAAAAGGAACCATTTTTTTTTTTTTTTATAATATTTTTATTTTATTTTATTTATAATTTTTTATATATATAAATAAATATATATATAATTTAACGATGATATTTTATAATATTTTAGTGTTATAACTATTAAATTGTGGTGTGTGGTTGTGATTTTGATTTTGATTTGATTTGGTTTTATTTATTAAAATTTTTAAAAATATATAAATATATAAATAATTGGGTTTTTTTTTTTTACAAAAGTTCACTTAATAATCTTTTAGCTTTTAATAAAACTTCATCTTTTGATTCTTTTGGTGGTTTTGGAGAATCGTATTGAGCTGATAACCATTGGTGGGATTTATCGAAAACTAATTCTAAATCATCTTCGTCTTCTTGTGGAATTGATTCGAGTTTGAGATATGAAATAACTAAACAAGTGGCCCAAACATCTGGATGTGTGAGAATAACTGAATCTGAGGAATCTGATTCGGTGATGGCACTAAGAGATACACCTAAAATACCAGCAAGTTTTTTATTTAATTGCCAGTTACCATCAGCAGTTTGAGATAATAAAAGATGTTCGACGATTTCTGGTTGTTCATCAACATTTTCGTTACCTTCGACGGCTTTTTCGTGTGATAAATATGGGAAATGAGTTTGATAAAATTCTTCGAGATAGCTGACCTTTCTGTTTTTCAATATGAAAAGTTTTAAAATGTCGAGACCTTCGGTGTTTTCATAGATTTCAACGAGACGATCTTTGTTTGAGATTTTAACAATGTAATTGAAAATGGCTACAATCATTTCTTCAGCTTTACCACTATCAACAATATGAGATAAGGCTTCTTCTAAATAGTTGAGTGAAAAGATTTCATTTTCGATGCAAATTGCAATAATTTTAGAAACAAATTGAGCAGAGAATGGTAAATCGACTTCGATATCTTCAATGTTGTCAATGCATTCTTGTAAACCTTCTTTAATTTGTTCAGCGTTAAAGAGTTGAGCAGTGAGGATACCACTAAAGAGTTCAAGGATGGAGTCTTTTTCATTTTCTCTTCTTTCGAGTGATTTCATAACAAAAATATTGAATTGTTTACCTAAAACAGTTGGTTCGTTAATTTCTTTAATACATTCAATAGCTTCATCGATATCTAAAGTTTCAACATATTCTTCGATTGTCATAGACATTGAATCTTCAATCTTTTCCATATTAACTTTTGGTTCAACTGGTTTTGGTGGTTCGACTGGGGCTGGTTTTTCTTGTTGTCTATCTTGATGTCTTGGGGCTGGTCTGCTTTCTTGGAGTCTTTCTTGTTTAAGTGGTAATTGTTGTTTACCACCAAAAGCATTACCTTTGTTACCTTTACCACCGAAATATGATGGTTGTTGTTGTTGTGGTGGTGATGATGATGATGGAGTATCATCATCGGAGTCTAAAGCGCTAAATAGATTTGATCTAGCTGGTGATTCATTGGTATCTTTTTTAGCTAAACCTTGACCTGGACGATATGGTGAACCACTTGGTGCTGATGATGATGATTTACCACCAAATAATGATGAACCAAATGCACTACCTGATTCAGATTTCTTTGGAGTTTTATCTTTACCGCTACCACCACGACCACCTTTACTTCCGACAGTTTCCCAACCATCTTTGCCACCACTTTTACCGAAAGCACCTTTACCTTTACGATCACGGTCACCACGTTCTTCACGATCTTTACGGTCACCACGATCACGATCACCACGGCCACCACGACCACCTCTACGGTCATCACGGTCTTCACGATCACCACGATCACGATCACCACGACCACCTCTACGATCATCACGGTCGTCTCTTCTGCTACCACCATGTTTGGCAATGAAACGTTCTTCTTTTTCAGTTTCTTCTTTCTTTGATTTAGTTTGGTTAATATTCTTTGGTTGCCATTTGCTAGCTCTTAAATCTAATAAATCTAATAAAATGAAACGACCTCTACTTGTAACTTTATCACTTTCTGAAACTGCTTGTATTTTGCCAAAGTATAAATCGGCATTGGCTTTATCTACTTCATCTAATCTCTTGCCAATTGTAGTTAATAATTTAACTAATGGTTCAATTGATTCTTCATCTAATCTTTCTTCACATTTATTAACTAATTGTTCTGTAATTTTAAGTGTGATTTTTAATCCTAAAACATTGTGTTTATATAATTCACCAATGAATTTAATATCTATAAATAAAAAATTGAAATGATTAATATCTTTTTTTAAAAAAATTCAAATATAATTTATAAATGATACTTACTACCTAATACTCTTCTCTTGAATAAAAACTCTTGTTCTTCTAAATCTTCTTTGGATAAACCTTCGAATTTAGATTTATCAAAAGCGGCAGAATCGAATTCATTTTGACAATTTTCGAGAATAGCACGTTTTAATGAAATTTCACCAAATTTAGGGTATGAATTATCTAAATGACCTGAGAGAATAGCATAAACAGCACTATATTTTTGATCGACAATAGCTTTTTCAAAGAGAATCTTGGAGATTGATTTGAGGGCTTCTTCGTCTGGGACTTTGAGTTCTTCGATATTTTTAATTAATGAACTGTAGGTATCCATAGTAATTCTGTTGAGATTGAATTTGAATTTCTTTAAAAGTTCTTGATGAGTACCTTGAACATCTTGAGAGAAAATTTTCTTTACAACAATTGGTTGAGCTGGATGGGCATCATTACGGAAACGGTCACCACCTCTCTTTTTACCGAATGGTTTGTTATTATTGGCTGGGCTGAGACCTTGTGGACCATTTGAAAAGATTGGGGTAGTTTTTAATGAGTCTGGGGCTTTAGTATTGGATTCTCTGAATGATAAAAGGAAATCATTGTTATATACACGACGAGTGGTTGAAATTGGGGTTGGTAATATATTGGTAACAGCTGGTTTTGGTAAAGTTGGGTTTGATGATGGAGCATTGGCTGTGGCTGTAGATGGGGTTGTATTTGAAACTGATGGTTGGGCTTTAGCGGCTGGTGTTGAATCATTAGTTTGGAAACCAAAGTTTTGAAGAGTTGAGGTAATAGAATTTACAGATTGTGATTTACCAGTTGATGATTCAGTTGGCTTAGCATTTTCAGCTTTAATTGGTTCAGCAGCTGTAGCAGTTGATGATGATTTTTCGGCTTGTTGTTGTGGTTGTTGTTTGCCTGATGGTTTTGATGTTTTTTTATTTAATGCAGCTTTATCTTGTTTTTCTTTTTGTCTTTGCTCTCTTTGTTGTTGTTGTTCTTTAAGTTGTTGTTCTTTAAGTTGTTGATCTCTAATTTGTTGTTCTTTTTGTTGTTGAGCTAAAATGGCAGCTTGTTGTTTAGCTTGTTCTTGAGCAGCAGCAATAAGTGCAGCAGCTGATAATTTGGCAGTTGGTTGTTCGGCTGGTTTGGCTGGTGCAGTTACAGTAGTAGCTGGAGCTGGAGCTGGAGCTGGTTTAACCTCTTCAACAACTGGTTTGGTTTCAGTAACAACTGGTTTGGTTTCGACAGCAGTAATGGCTGGTTTGGTTTCAGCAACAACTGGTTTGGTTTCGACAGCAGTAACAACTGGAGCAACAACAACTGGTTCAACGGCAGCAACTGGTTTAACAGATTCGACAACAGCTGGTTTGGTGGCAGCTGGTTGTTCTACTGGTTTGGCAGTTGGTTGTTCAACAGCTGGTTTGGTGGCAACTGGAGCAGTAGTTTGTTTAGCTTGCTCTTGAGCAGCGGCAATAAGGGCAGCAGCAGTTGGTTTAGTATTTGAAACTGGTGATGGTTTGGCTGGAGCAACTTGTTCTACTGGTTTGGCTGGAGCAGCGGTGGTAGCTGGAGCATTTGGTGTAGCTGGTTTCATTGGTGATGGGTAAAATGGAGTTGAATTTGCGTTCAATGAAACTTTTGGAACAAATTCTGGTGAACTAACTTTAAGAGTTGATTTTGAAAGAGGAGTAAGTGGAGTTTTTAATGGGTTGGTACCGCTGCTATTCAAAATATTGGAGTGACTTGGTGAAGTATTGGCATTATAGAATGGAATAGTATTACCACTAGCAGTAGTTGGAATACCACTGGCAGAGCTTCTAAGAGAAATCATAGCACTTTCATGATGTTTTAATCTATCATTTGATTTAAAGAGACCATTATCATTTGGTTTGTCGGATAAAGTTAAGTTACCTAAAATAGCACTATTGATAGTTTCTTGAATTTTAAGTTCAGCTTCTCTTTGTTTTTGCTTTTCTTGCTCTTCTTGTTCCTTTTGTTTCTTTAATTGTTCATTAAATTGTTCTGGTTCTTCAACTGAACAGAATGAAGTGTAATTTGAAGCTAAACCATATTTGATACCTAAATCGATAATCTTTTGACGAATTGGTTCTAAGTCTTGTTCTGGATTTTCGTAAATTTGATCTTGAAGATCTTGAATTAAAGTATAGGCAGCTAAACTGTGAACGAGATTACCTTTTTTAATTTCTTCACTTTTAATTGTAACTGGGAAAACAACTTGACCACTTGGACTGTTGGCAATTAATTTAATGGTGGAACCATCGATTCTTTCATCAGCTGCTAAAATATTATAAACAACTAAACGATCACCAAAGAAAAGAGTACGTAAATCTCTTGGAGCTTGATTTTTTTTATTTAAACTTCCCCAATCAATTTTAATATTTGACATAGCTGGTTGTAAAGCTCTCTTTAATTGACGCATAACTTTATTTTCAATTGTTTCATTTTCCATAACTAATTCAGCAACACCTGAACCAGCATTAGCAATATATTCAATCTAAAATAAATTATAATTATTATTAGTAAACAATCTATATTAAAATATATAGTTTTAATTATTAATACATACTAATTGACGAGATCCTAATTCCATACCAATTGGGAAAACTGAAGTATTATCAACATTTTGACGAACAATATCAACAATTGGACCAATATTATTAACACGACCATCAGTTAAGAGGAAAATTTTTCTTGGACGAACTGGGGCAACTGAGTAAATATCTTTGAGTGGTTCTAAAAGATTAGTTTCACCTTGTTTAACAGCTTTAAGAGATTCAACGTATTGAGTGGCGGCCTTAAGACGTTCATCGTCGTATTTAACTGATTGTGGGAAAAGCTTACGATGAGTTGAAGCAAAATCAATGATATTGAAATAAGTATCCTTTTGAAGTGAATGAAGGAAACGATGGAGAGCTTTTTTGGCATGTTTAATATTGTAACCTTCCATGGATTCAGAGACATCGACTAAAAATATAAGTTCACTGTTATCGTTGGTGGCAATAGTTTGATTAGATGAGAGTTCTGGATAGAAAGCAATCATAAGAGCACGGCTACCTTTTTCATTTTCTTCAATGAAACCATATGGTTCGTGTGGATTATCTAACTTGATGAGGACAACTAAATCGGATTGGTTTACAACATCGATAGAACGTGAATCCTTGTAGGTAACTTTACCAGTTAACCCCTTATATTCGACATCGATACCCTTTGGATGTGATGGTGAAATAATTTCGGAAATAGTTGATGGCATTTCTAAATTCATTTCAATTAAAAGACCTTGTTTTTGATTAATTTGAATACCAGATGATGATAATGATAATGATGATTTATTTGATGTAGTAGTAGTGGTGGAGGTGGTAGTAGTAGTAGTTGATGGTGTAGTGGTTGTGGTTGAACTATTTACATTTGGCGTTATATTATTATTGGTATTTGTATTTATATTATTTATATTTGTATTATTATTATCAATTTCAAAAAATTGTGAAGATCTAATGGTGGTTAATGAAGTTGGGAACTCCATTAAGAGATAGTCACCTTGAGTTGACATTTCGGTTGAATAGGTAATGATGATTTCTAATTCTTTATATTGTGATAAATTGTTAACTTTACATAAAAAGAAATCTTCTTCGATGTGTGGGTCGGTATTGGTAAACTCGGCTTCTTTGACAACGTCGGTATCACCTTGGTTCTTTTCGAAAAGTCTCATAGCATCTTGTTGACTGACAACTTGAGAAGTAATCTTTTTGCCATCGAGATTAATTTCGAAACCACATAAAACACCCATTGTAGTATTGAGGAATGCTTTGAAAGTAGCATCTTCCTCTTTACTGTTATTGAGTTTATTTAATGTATCGAAATACTTGTTAATGTCACTGTAGGTCTTGGTGAATTGAATTTGTGCTGCTAAATCTACTACCTTAGCATTGATAGATATAAATGATGGAAGAATTTGCTCACCATTTTTAGTCCATAATCCTGAATACATCGCTTTATTTAAGTATGATTATAATATTTATTATAAAACAAAAACAATACTATTATTATTATTATTAAATAAAAAAAAAAATTGAAAATAAAATTTTAAAAAAATTTATATGAAATTATTTTAAAATAATAAATAACTAAATATATATACTGAATATATACTAAAAAAATAATATACTATATATTTGAACAAAAAATATTAATATATAGTTTGAAAATTGGGGTGTTTTTTAAAAATTTTATTTATAAAAATATATATAATTTATATATATATAAAATATGTTTATTTATTATTATTATAACAAAAATAAAAAAGAAATAAAAATACTATAATTCTACTTTTACAAAAATAGAATTTTTAAAAAAAAGATATATATAAAAAAAAAAAAAAAAGATATATATATATATTTATATATATAAATATGAAAGTAGGTAGGTTCTAGTAAGTAGAATGATTTGGTCTACTTTCGTTTTTTTTTTTTATTGATAAAAAATTTAAAAAAAAATTTTGAAAAAAAATAATAAAAAAAATTATAAAAAAAAAAAATTATAAAAAAATTAAAAAAAATTATAAAAAAAAAAACTATTATAATTATTTTTGTTTTTTTTTTTTTTTTCTAATGAGCGAACGAGGAAAATCGTGTTTTTAGAAAAAGAGACAACAGCGTTATTTTCGTATTTTTTTTTCAAATATTATTTGATTTGAAAATTTTTATGGAAATAATATATATATAAACAAATATAAAAAAAAAAAATAAAAATAAAAACTTTAATAAAAAAATAAAATTATTATTATTTTCTTACCACACCCCACACATTTCTTTGAAATATTTCTGAAGCTTTAAATTTTATCTTTTTTATTATTATTTATTATTTATAAACTAAATATTAAAAATTATTTCGTATTATTAATAAATATAATAAAAATAGTTGTAATATTTATAAATAATTAATAATAATAAATAAAAAATAATTATAATAAATAAATAGTAAAAAACGATAATTTCATAAAATAAAAAAATATTTACCACCCGAAATAATTTTTCAATTTTTTTTTTTTGGGAAATTTTTTAAATTTTTAAATCATTTAATTTAAATTATAATGCGCAATGCCAATAAAATAGTGATAAATTACATATCAATATTCAAAGAGAAAAATAATATTATCAAAAAATGAATTCATTATAACAAAAAAAACCTAAGAATTCAATGATATTCAGAAAAAAGTTAGAAACCATTTTTATCAAAATATCAACACTCCGATTCATTAAAAACTCTATGGTGTTCGATTATTCTCGATTAGTTTTCTAGTAAATAAATTAATGCGTAGTTGGTTTACTGTTCACCAAAAAGATTAAAAAAGTGTCATTTCAAAATTGTTGTATCACCCAAATTAAAAAAGTTCATTTTTTTAAATCATCAAAAAAAAATTTAGTTTTTTAAAAATAACTTTATTTACAATTTTTATAAATGCTAAACGTCGATATTATTGTTTATTATTTAAATAGTTTAACAGAAACCTTGACCATATTGGGTGCAAACATTTGATGATGGTAAAGCAGCAGCACAAGTGTTGTTACCTGAACCACCACATGAGCAACTTGGGCAGAGGGAGGCACATGGAAGAACTGGGATTGGTTCAGAGATACATACTATAATATTTAAAGTAGATGGTTATAATGTTAGTATTAGAGATTGTTGTTGATATTGTAATATTACAATAATTTCTATTGTAGTATAAGTAAAATTTTGAAGTACATACATGGAATAAGGGTGGCACAGAGGAAAGCTTTCATGTTGTTTTGACAATCAGCAGATGGTTGTGATAATTGAACAAAGTTGTTGAACATACCTTGGATCATTGAGTCAGTATCTTGGATACCTAAGTTTGAGGTAATTGGGTAGTTGACACCTGAGCAGAAGTTTAATGGTGATGAAAGACATTCACAACCTTGTGGTGGATTGCTTGGGCAAGCGTTTGGAGCTGGGGTAACTGGTGGGGCTGGGGTTGGACAGTTACAGAATTGTGGTGGTTCAAAAATTGATGAATCAATAGCACTGGTATCAAGATTTGAGAAAGACATAGTGGTGGTGAATTGCATACCATTTTGGTTGGTGATCATAGTACTTTGGACTAAAACTTCACGTGATGGATCGACGTAAAGAGAGATGTTAACACCTTGCATTAAAAGGAAACTCCAAACTTCACAGTCAATACCGTCAATATTTTGTTGACCACTGTAGGTACTGCCTGGTAAAACTGAATATAATGGTAAAGTACCAGTTAAAACATCACACTAAAAATAAAATAAATAAATTATAAAAACAAATTTATATAAAAAAAAAAAAGTGGTAAATAAAAAATTTAATTTTAGCGGTATCGAATATAAATTAATCGAAAACACCTACCTCGCATTGGGATTGGCCTTGAACATAACTGTAAGTATTCATTTGATCGAATCTATCGAGTTTTGAGGCGGTAATACCTTGCCATGGGACGACGGCATCTTGTCTTTGTGTTTGAGCATTGTAATCGTAGTATAAACGGCCTTCTACTGTTTGTGGAAATGGCATTTGAGAGTTTTCGGTGGTGATTTTGACATCGGAAGTGAAAACTAATGGTAATGCTGGATATGATCTTTGGGCATTAACAAATGCAATAAATAATAAAACTAATGCAAAAATAACTTTCATTTTTATATTTTAATTGTTATTTATTTTATTACTATAACAAAAAACAAAATTTAAAAAAAAAAAAAAAAAAAAATTTTATTTATTGTGTTCAAAAAAAAAATATTTTCAAAAACCTAAAAAAATTTAAAAAATATAGTGAATATTTTTCTTGAATGACGTAAAAAAAAAATTTTAAAAACCATGATAAAAATATCTTTTCCCGGCCGCTTTGTTTTAAAAAAAAAATGTTTACTTAAAATTTTGGGCCACCCCAAATAAATAAGTGTAAATAGGTTGAAATAAAAGTGGCCACTCATATAAATTGTTTGAAACAAAAAAAAAAACAAATAAATAAATAAAAGATATAAAAAGAAAAAAAAAAGTATATTGTAAACAGAGAATATTTTTTAATTATCGTTGGAAAAAAGGCAATTAAAGTGATTAAAAATATCAACCTTAGATCAAAAAAATAACTCCCACAACAAAAACCATTTTTTTTTCTATTTTTGTCTTTTTAAATTTTGAAAAACACCATAAATTTTTTAGTCTTATAAACTGAGGGTTTTTTTAATATGATGGGATTTTATTTTCACCCCAGAGAAGTTAAATAAAGACTTTGAGGTTACACCAAATAATACGAAAATCATTGTCTATTTTTTTTAAATTTTTGATTAATTTAAGTGAATTGAATGAGTTTTTTTTTAAAAAAAAATAAAAATGGTTTTGGTGATATTTATTTATGTATTTGGGTTTTAAAAAATGACGTGGAAAATTTAAAATAAAAAAAAATAAAAAAAATTACGAGGTCAACCAAAAAAAAAAAAAAAAAATTTTTGGTTTTCACCAACTTATTTATTTGGGTGCTGGGTCAAAATTTTAAGTAAACTTTTATCAAAAACCTAACTACATATAATTTTATACTTATAAAATAAACAAATAAAATAGAATAACAAAATGAGATAATAAAAAAAAATAAAAGAAAAAGAAAAAGAAAAAGAAAAATAAAAGAACAAAAAATTATCTTCTAAATATCCAGGAAAAGGATTTTTATTGTTTTTTGGGTTTTTTTATAAATTTTATTTGATTTTTTATGATATTTTTTATTTTTTGTGCTGTCATGTTTTTTTTTTATTATTAAAAGTCGCCAAAATTTTTGTTTTTTTTTTTGTTTTTCTTAGGAACATAGGTCGAAAAAAAATATCCTAAAAATTTTTTTTAAATATATTTTTTTTAATTTTACGTTTATTTTTTTTATTATAAATAAATAAAATTTTTTTTTTATTTAGCTTGTTTGTTTATCAAATTAATCAAATATATAAAATGAAAAAATTCACCGCTTTATTCCTTTCATCAGTTGTCGCTTTAGTCAGCGCTCAATACCCATCAATTCCACTCCAATTCACTTCACAAGTCACCATCAATGTCCAATCACTCTTCCCAATGCCAGAAGTTTCTGGTAAGTTAATTAATATAATATTTTAATTAACAAATAAATTTACAAAATAAATAAATAACTATAAAAATAAAATATAAATCTAAAAATTTAAAAAATGAATTCACAAATTAATTTTTTATTTATTTATATTTAACAAATAGGTTTTATGTCATATGATTATGCTGCCCAAACACAAAGAATTGACTCAAAAGACCCAAATTTCGGTTCAATCACCACCACTTTAGATCGTTATGATTTAGGTAACTCATACACCTTTGTTCAAGGTCAATCACAATGTGATTGCCAACCAGTCCAAGGTAAAATGCCAAATTACCAAATTCTTCCAGGTGCTGCCTACAAAGGACAACAAACTGTTAACGGTGTTAATGCCGATACTTGGGAATATGGTTTAATCCCAGGTGCTAACATCACTGTTTACACCAGCGGTAATAATTTAGTTGAATCACAAATGACCGTTAATAACATGGGTATGGAAATGATCACCACCATGGACTTCAACACTTTCACTCCAGGTCCAATCCCATCATCAACCTTTGCCGTCCCATCATTCTGCTCAGGTGCATGCCCAACTCCAGCTCCACCAGCTACCCCAGCTCCAAATGCCTGTCCAGGTAACCCACCACAAGGTTGTGAATGTCCAAGTATGTTATCATTCTGCTCAGGTGTTAACTACCCAGTTACTTCCACTTTCGGTGCTGATGATGTTGATACAATGGCTGCTTCAATGATCAATAGTTTCAGTGCTTTACAACCAGGTCCAACTCAACAATGTGTTGCTCAAACTAAAGCTTTCATCTGTGCCACTTTATTCCCACTCTGCACTGGTTCAATTGTCCCAGTTCTCCCATGTCCATCACTCTGTCCAACTTCCTGTGGCGATGTTTCATCATCAAACAACACCTGTGCTGCTGCTCTCCCATCAAACATTTGCACCAACTACCAAGATTAAATTTTTTGATAGCTCATTAATCCTGAAAAATAAAAAAACATCACATATTTAATATAAACTAATTTGTAAATAAAAACTAAAAAAATCCGATAATATTAATACAAAATTTGCCCAAAAATTTTTTTTTTTTATTTTTTTTTATTTTTAGGTAATTTATAAATAATTTGGTTTTATGATTTATTGTTTTTTTTTTAAATATTAAAAATATAAAATAAATATAATCTTTTTATTTTTATTTTATATATATATAAAAATTATATATATAATTTATAGTTTATAATTTTTTATTAATTAATATAATTATATAAATATAATATAGAATTTTTTTTTTTATAGATTTTTAAATATTTAAATATTTGAGGATTGAAGTTTTGGTGAATTATTTAAAGAGTAATTACTTGATCTTAAAGCTGGGGAAGTTTTTTTTGGTGTTGAGTTTTTGGTTAAATTATTAATTGAGTCTAATAGTTGTGGGGATAAGCTTTTTTCGGTAAACTTTTCGACAAAAAGCTTAATATATCTATCAAAGGATGGTAGATGGGGAAGAATTAAACCATTAGTTTCAAAGAATTTGAATACTGAAAAGAAAAGAGTATCATTATTTTGATTTGATGATACTTGAAGGAAGGGTATTGGATAATTTGGATTTAAAAGATCTTGATAAAGTTGTTGGTTTGAGTCTTTGGTTGATCTTAATAAATGAATGGCTTGAACTACTTGATTTCTTTCTAATAGAGTTTCGATAATGATATTTGGCATACTGAGTCTTTTAAACATATCCAATGATAATTGTAAAACTGGAGGATATTGTTCACCGATTGATAAAAGTTTGTAGGCTATTGGCAATGAGTCGGTTATTACGTAGTATTGAAGGAATTGGTGTAATTTTGAAAACATATTATTATCGATTAATAAACTAATTAAAAGATTATACAGTTTATCTGAAATACCTGTACATTGGTTAAAACTTAATGATTTAATATATTGAATTACAATGGCAATAAGATATTTTGAATCTAAAGTTAGTTTTTGTGTTTCATCTAAATTTGGACAGTTTTCTTGTTGGTTATGTTGTTGTAATTGAGATTCGGCTAGTAGTTTTTCATAAATTGGATTAAATACAAAATCATACATATCATGACTATTAATTAAAATATATTGACTTGATCTTGATTGTCTACTTGGAACTACATGAATTGGTGTGTTGCTGTTGTTGTTTGATGTTAAGACAGATGAGCTTGATGATGAAAGTGTCGATTTTGAAATTGTAGAATTTGGAGATGATGGTGATGAGGCAGAGAGTGAATTAGATTTATATATTTTTGGTGAATGATATGGACCTGCATCCCCTATTAAATCGAATGGATCTTCTTCATCATTGTTGTTGTTTTGGGTATCAGTATTCTTTTGTTGCTGTTGTTGTTGTTGTTGCTGTTGCTGTAGTTGCTTATGTCTTAGGTATGATAAGTTATTTTGATTTGATGATGGTGATGATGTATTGCCTGTAGCAGAGTTATTGCCATTTAATAATCTTGAATTACCAATAAATGAATTTGATGGTGATGCAGTTGGAGTATTTTCGTTTGAGGAGTTTAAGCTACTGTTACCTGTAATATTTATGCCACTACCACTATTTGATAGGCTACTGCCACCACTATTATTATTGTTGTTATTGTTTGGTGATTGATTGTTATTTATACTATTGCTGTGTTGTAATTTGTGTAAGCTTTCAGTTAATTGTCTATTTGTTGCTTTAAATAAAACTTTATTTAAATCGTCATAGATTTTTCCAATACCATCTAAATTATCTGTTTTAAATTCAATAATCGTTTTAATAAGAGCTAAAAGAGCGAATTTTGCGCTAGGTAGAGTACGTTCTTGAAGGAAAGGAATGGTTTTTTGTGGATCAAATTGAAGGAAATTTGAGATTTTTTCGAAATTTAAAGTGACTTCAAACCAAATACCTGTATCTGAATCATAGATATAGTGGGGACAAATATATTTCCAACTCTTTGAATAAAGGTTACTGTTCATTCTTGAAAGGAGTTGCTGTTGTTGAAGTTGAAACTCTAATTGGTGTTGGTTTTCAAAACTATTTTGTAATGATTGTTGCTGTTGCTGTTGTTGCAATGATTGTTGTTGGTAGAATTGTTGTTGTTGATCAAAGTTATTATTGTTTAAATTATTATTTTTATTATATTTAAGTGATGTGTGTGGTGATTGAGTTGCCATTGCAATTAGATGATTAATATTATTACTATTTTGTAACGATACAGTTAGAGGTATTGCTGAGATTGGGAATTCTTGACCCTTCTTATTGTTGGCTCTATCACGTTCACGGTCACGATCACGTTGAATCATCTTGAGGTCATAGACAACACTAATTTTTAATTCGCTATGTACAATAATTAAATTATCTACGAAATGTATGGTGTTTGGACCGGGTAATACAATTTTAATAGGTTTGATCTTATAGATGGTTTCCAATGTCATTTCATAAAGATAGATATATTCGGTATCGCCATAAACACAAAAAAACTTTTCATGTAATTTGGTGACATATAAATTGTTGATATTAAAAGTGAGGTTTCCTTCTATATTGAATTTTGGTAATTTATCGAATGAATTTGATCTAAAAAAATATGGTTGAATCGATGTACCACCTGAATGTAGAAATAATACACCAAAATTACAATTAAACTTTATTTGAAACATTAGTACTGATTTTTCATTTAATAATAACCATAGCTATATATTATAGTTTACTTACTGAATAAAGGCAATTTGTAATTTTCATTTTATTCTCTTTAACCAATTTACATGAGCCATCGACTGACATTGCGTATAATTCTAGTGAAATATTTGTTACCAATAAAATATTATCATTTTGAGTCCAATAAAAACCTATTATAGTTGTACCTTTGGTAGATTTATATTTACATGATTGTGTATATCTAGTTCCATTCTCTAAATGTAGTATTTCCTAATTAAGAATTATAATTGGTGATTAATAATTGGTTTATATTAAATTAATTACATTATTTCCCCAGTTTTTTTATAAGAATACCTACTATATCACAATCACTATATAAAGTTGCAGAATACTTTAAATTTGGTGAAAACTTTGCATCTTTAATAAATTTGTCAGAAGGGTAGTACTTTCTAGTTGCTTCTGGATCATCCAACTGAACATATCCAAATCCTGTGTGTGACTTTAAAACTACTCTATTTAATCTATCGTCATATGATAAAAAAATTTCGTCTTCTTTTATTCTTAATGGTAACGGTACAATTTCAACTGACATTATAACATAAATAATAAATAATAAATAAACAATATATATATGTTTTTTAATTTATGTTGTTTCTATTAGTTATTATTTATGTATTATTATTGTATGTGTGTTATTTTTAAAATGAATGAAATCAAAATAAATAAATAAATAAATAAATAAATAAATAAATAAATAATATTTTATAAAATTCTTATATAATGTTATTATTAAACTTTTTTATTTTTTTCTTTTTATTTATTTTAAAAAACTAAACTAATAAAAAAGATAAAGAAAAGTAAAATAAAAAATAAACAAAATAAAAAAAAATCTAATAATTTTAAAATTTTTTTTTTTAAAATTTTTTTTTTTTTTTTTTTAAAATTTTTTTTTTTTTATTTTTTTTTGTGTTTTAAATACAAATAAATAACTTAAGAGATAAAATTAATTAAGTTTAAAATAAAAACGAAAATATATAAGATTAAAATAAAAAAGGGTTTAGTTAATAAATTTTACAATTAATAAAATATTTTTGAAAAAAAAAAAAAAATAAAAAAAAAAATAATTGTTTAAATATTTATTTACTTTTATATATTTTTATTATTTGAACAATGAATTTAATAAATTAATTTTTAATTATTAAACCAAATTTTATTTTATTTTTTTTTTTATTTTTTTTTTTTTCAATTTTTTTTAAATTTTTTTTTTTTTATAATTTTTAAAAATATCATATGATCTGCCTTTAGATATATTATATTAAATTATATAATGTTAATATAATGACATCAAATAGTAATAGTTTTAATAATAATAGTTTATCAGAAATATTTTCAAATAAAGATTTTAATTCAAAAGAATGGATAAACAGTTTATTAAATCAAGTTATTGATAATCATATTAAAACTGGTGTATCAGCAACAGCAGCTTCAAATGCAAACGCATCATCAAAACCATCAACATCAGTCTCAACACCAACAAATAATGTATTTGAAATTTTAACAGATAAAAATAATATTAAAATTGATACAGATTTAGAGAATTTTTGTTCCAATTTGTTATCAAAAATTCAAATATTTCAAATTGAACTAAATATGGAACTGGACGATAATATTCAAGAATCTTTATTAGTTGTACCAAAGGCAATTAGAGAAATTGATAGAATTAGAAAAGAAATCATAAATATTAAAAATAAAATGAAGTTAATCTCATCGAAAATTGATGAATTAAATGCACAATCACCGCAATCAACTCAGGTGGTTTCATTGATACAGAAATATGACCAAATTAAATCAAGGATGGAAAGCTCAATGCGTTCGTTACAGGAAGCCGAAAAGCTCTTATCATTCTCGAGTCAAGTGGATCAGTTGTTCTCTACAAATGATTTCTTGGTTATTTCAAATAAATTAGAAGAGGCTAAACAATCTTTATCTGTTTTAAGTGACGTACCAGAGTTTAGAGAGCAATCAAAGAAATTTAATGAATATCAAGACCGTTTAGAGTCACAGCTAAGACCGTTACTCCAATCATCATTAATATCGCGTGATCTAGAGGCTTGCAAAAAGTATTTAACAGTATTTACCAAAATTCAACGTCAAGATAAATTTTTAAATTGTTATTTCTTGGTTAAAAATGATCCATTAAAAATATTATGGAATAGTTATTCAAATGTCTCCACCAACAATTCATCTCTTCACGGTGCCACATCTCCAAATTACCTTCAACACACAGCAAATGAAAATTACTTTATAGCATGGTTATCAAAATTTTATGATGAAGTTTTATTGATGGTAAATAATGAATTTAAATGGTTACCCCAACTCTTTCCAACCAACTATATTGAAATTTTAGAAAGCTTGGTAGTTAATCTTTTTACAATAATTAATCCAACAATTCAAAGTAGAGTTGATTCAGCAATAACGATACAGGCAGGTTTACCAGTTAAAGTTGAAGATTTACTATCGATTTACAAAACAACTCTTTCATTTATTAAATCAATCTCATCAATTTTCCCAAATTTAAAAAACAATAATAACAATAACATTATCACCAATAAATTATTATCAATAATCATAGAACCATATAAATATTTTCAAAATAAATTTTCAGAATATGAAATTAAATCGCTCAAGTACAATCTATCAAATCTATCAATTATAAAGAAAGGTGATTTCCAAGCTACAGTCAAGAATATTGAGGCTCAGTTAATACCTAAATTCTTTCAAATGGCAACACAATCAATTGAGAGATTTCTCGAGTTTACCCACACCACCGATATTGATAGTTATGTAAATTTAGTTCAAAATCAATTCTTTACCGAGTTAACTGGTATTCTGAGAGACTCTATCAACGAGTTAAAACATAGTTCAAGTATAAGTAGCTTTTATGTTCAAGGTAGTAATGGCAGCATACCAAATTACCAAATAGCAACACCAACTTTAGATGACAAAAAATTGACCCCAACTCATTCAAGAACCCATTCTAGATCATCAAGCGGTGGAGGAAGTGGTGCTCATGGTGTTGGGTCTTTAACAGGTAATCAAAACTGGGAGTATTTCCAAGGTTCCATGAATTTATTACAATCAATTCACAAACTTTTAATCAAGTTTAGTCAATTCGATAATACTTTAATATTAAACATTATACATTACCTTGGTAACGATTCCGATGTTATAGTATCAAACATTAGAAAGCTATTGTTACAAGATTTAGGCAAATTACACAAACTTCAACAAAGTATAGCACATTTAGAGCAATTACAAACTATAAATCAAACATCAAATAAAATAAATTCAAATCACAGTTCCACTGAAAAGAAATTGCTGTTACAAGAATCATTAAACCAAATAAATAAGGTTTTATCAATCTCTCAGCACTTTGTTTATGAAACTATGATTTATTTTATTAAAAATAAATTAAAAGAATTACCCAAGATTGTATCAACAGAATGGAACCAACAAATGAATAGTCAGCAACTAGCAAATTCAAATTTAACTTATATCACACAAATTACAGATCACCTTTTAACTATACCACAACAACTTGACCCTTACTCGGAAGAAGAATTAACGAGATTTTCATTGTCAGTAGCATTACAGTTCCCAATTAAAACAAGCTCGGTAAAAGAAGATGACTTTTATCAAAACTTATTACAGCAATATCAAAAAGAAAAGCAAGAAGAAACTGAATCATTCTTAAATGAAAAATTAAAGGAAAGTGGTTTCAATAGTGACACTGACGAGGAAGAGCAAGATATTAAACAACAGCAGCAACAGCAACAATTGCTTGATGAAGAATTGGAAGATGGCATCGCTCATCAATGGATTACAATTGTTGCCAAGGCTACAGAAAAGCTTTATCTCCAAACTATTGTCGAAATCATTACCCTTAGTGAATCATCATGTCAACAACTATCAAACGATATTGGTTATTTATTTAATGTTTTATCTGCATTAGGCGTTAGCCCAGAATCATTATTATTAAAAACCAAATCATTATTAGAAATGGATCGTGAACAATTTATTAAATTTTATCACAGTAGTCAACAGCAATCCTCTTCACAACTTTCCAATGCCGAGAAAAATATTTGTAATTTAATTGCTAAAATGAGAAATATAAAATAAAAATTATATAATAAAAAACCTTTATTTTTTTGATATAATTTTTTTATAATTTTATTTAATTTTATTTTTTAACCAATACCTAAAGAATATTTTCAACTGTTTAACTATTAAACGTTTAATACCAACCATCCATTTAAATATTTTTTTTTTTTTTATTATTATTATATCTCGACCATAGTATAATATGATTTATTACTATCCAAATACAACAGTTGCTCCGACACCATCACCCAGTACTCAAAAGGTAAGATGCGAATATTTTTCAAATGGTTTCGAAATTACTAGTTCCGTACATATCGAGTGCTTGGGTAATGGTGCAACTTATTGTGAAACTGACAAAGGTTCAACTTGCAGCACTGATTCACCATATGGTTCAGTTAATTGCACCACCAAATCAGATCTATGAAATGTTTTGGTTCTCATATAACCTGTTCCTCGTATGAATTAGAATGTGTTATCAACAAACCAAAAAGCTCATATTTAATTGTTAATGGAATTGAACATCAATCAAATGTATATGATCATTCTGAACCACAATCACAATCACAACCAAACAATCAAGATAAAGTAAATAATAGTTCAAGCATTATTTATTCATCATTTTCATTATTAATTTCATTTGTTTTAATTTTTAAAATAAAATTGATCAAAAAAAAACTAAAATGTTTTTTTCCGCACAATATTAAAAAAATGTTTAAAACATTAATTTATATACTTTTTATTTAAATATTTTATATTTTATAATTATTTATTTATATTGTTTAGTTCATAAATGATGAAGCTTTTGACATTATAGATTTTCCAATGAGATTTGTTGCGAATGATGATACAATTGATCCACTGTTGCTTGAACATTTGTAGAATCCATAAATATTGGCCAAAGATAAACATATTGCAATGATTGGAACTAAAGTAATATTAATAAATTAATAAATATTTATTGATATAAAAATAATTAAATAAAAATAATATTACATACTTAAAATCCAAATAAATTGCAATTTAAATATACAAACAATAAAGAATAAGACCCACACTAAAGGGGTAGCATATAATCCTAACCAAAATATATAAGATTCAATTTGGTTGGCTTTATATCCCTATATAAAATAATTATTATGTTATTATTATAAAAATATAAATGATTAGTTTAATTAATCTAAAAAATATAAGAAATGATAACCACTTACCTCTTCAGCAGTTTCATAGAACCACTTATTTGTGCCATCATCTAAAACCTGATTCCACCATCTTAATCCAACCATTAAACGACCAGAAATATTTTTAACAGTCCAAAAATCGAAACTTAACAACAATGTGCATATAATAAATGTTAAGATAAAACTATTACCAAATGAAAATAAATATAAAATTAACGGTGTTACTTTAAAGAGTACATGTACCGATGATGCTATTGGGTGTGATAATCCTTTGAAAAGTTTCACAATTGATGATTGGTTATTGTTATTATTACTATTAAAAAAATTATTTTCGTCGTCTAATGATACTCCACTATTGCCACTGCCTATACTATTATTTGTATTCCCACCGGGACTTCCTATTTTACCGCTTCCTCCACCTGCTATATTGGTTTCAATAAATGGACTTGATATAGATATATCTACATGGTTTTCTCCTGTATCTTCTGTAAATCCAAAATCATTAACCTTTGACATTTTATATTATTTATTACAATTATAACTATTACGAATATAATAATATTAATTTTATATTATTATCGTTATATTATTATTATTTGTTTCTTTATCTTGAATATTCGTTTAGTGTATATTTAAAAATTAATTAAAATGAAAAATTAAAAAAAAATAAAATATAAAAAAAAATTAATTTTTAAAAAAAAAATAAAAAAATAAAAAAAATTATTTTGGTGATATTATTCCTAATATAGCTCTTATTTTAATCAGTATTTTAATTTATTTAAATTAGAAAATTATTTATTTTTTATGTATTATAGATTTATAGTTTTATTAAAAGAACATACACCATACTTTTATAAAACTTAAAAATATTTTAAATTATAAAATTATAAAAAAAATCTAAATTTATTTTTATTTTAAAATTAATAATGATAAATTAATTTTTAAAAATATCTTTTTTTATTTAATCATAAAAAAAAATAATCTCATCTATTTAAAAAAAAACCATTCTAATCTATCATAAAAACAAATAATCCCAACTATTTGAAAAAAAAAATTTATTTAGATAGCTGGGATTATTTTATTCTTTTTAATTTTAATTTTAAAAATTTTTTTTTTTTAAAAAATAATTTAAACCAAAGGGATATACCAACTTCGGTAGAGTTTTTAACATTAGGTGGCCTTTTCAAACGGTTCCTTAAACATGGTGAAATACCAGCAACTGTTACAAAATTAACTTTAAGCCACCTTTTCAAACAACCACTTAAACAAGGTGATATACCATTATCAGTAGAAATTTGGTGACAGATTAAATCAAACACTTAAACAAGGTATTATACCTTCCTCTGTTAAAAAATTAAAATTTGGTCAGGATTTCAACCAACCACTAAAACCAGGTGATATACCCTCATCAGTAGAAATTTTAGAATTAATCCACTTTTATCAACCACTGATTAAACCAGGTGATGTACCACAATCAACAAGGATAGTATTATAATAATAGTACTTTCGTTAACTGTTGTGTTTGATTTGGGAATTTCGATTTCAGGTGGATTAGTTGTTTATGGTGTTGTTGTTGTACTCTATTAAAAACTAATCTACCTGAAATCGAAAACCAGTTGTTGAAAGATTTTCTGTTGTTGTTTTTGAATAACAATCGAATCTACCCCATCCAGAGTAGCATTTACATTGACCTGTTGACTTGTTAATTGATTAACAACAAAATAAATAATAAAAAATTAAAATAAATTTAAAGCATATTATATATTTTTTTTTTATTATTTTCAAAATTTTAATAGCTTTTATAAAAAAATAAATAAAGAAATATATTGTTGCAAAATGGGAACTATATTATTGGTAGGTATAGTAACAATAATAGTAATAATAAAAGATTAAAATATAATAATAAAAATTAGAAAATAAAAAAAAATTGCAAAAACAAATCTTTTCATTCAATTTATTTTTTTGTAATTTAACAATAAAAAAAATTTTAAAATATCCAAATCAGTTTTTATTAGAAATTTTTATCAGAAAATAAATTTAAAATTTTTTTTATTAAAAAAAAAATGGTTTTTTTTTAATAAAATATTTAAATAAATTTCTAATTTTTTTAATATAAAATATAGATATAGATGGATAATCAGGCAAATAATTTGTTTTTCAAAGTTTGGAGGAATATTGTTATAAGAAATGAAATTATAAAACATTTAAAATTATTCATTAATAAAAACATTGTATTTAAATCATTATTGGAATTTATTGAATTCCCAAATAAGGATTATTTAACAAGTGTAACAATAAATTTTAGAGAAGAGTTTGATTATAGTAGACTATTATCCCCAACAGTTTCAATCCTTAAATTTGGTAATATTTTCAATCAAACACCAAATTTAGGAAAACTTCCACAGACCGTTAAAACTTTAGACTTGGGTAAATTTTTTAACCAAACACTAAATGCAGGCGATTTACCAACATCAATAGAGACATTGATATTTGGTGAGAAATTCCATCAACCACTTGAAGAAGAGCCCATTCCATCAATTCAACATTTAAATTCCACTGCATTTTTTAATCCATTACTCAATGAAGGATCTATACCACCATCTGTAACCACATTAATATTCAGTGAATTTTTCAACCAAGCAATTAAACCAGGCGATATACCATCATCCGTTTTAAATGTAGTATTTGGTTTCAATTTCGACCAACCCCTAAAACCAGGGGATATTCCATTATCGGTTAAGTGTTTAACATTTGGTAAATATTTTAATCAACCACTTTATCAAGGATCAATCCCATCATCTGTAGAGGTACTTACTTTTGCTGAAAGATTTAATCAAGAGCTTAACGAAGGATCAATACCTCAATCAGTTAAAACTTTAACATTTGGGAGTAATTTCAATTGGCCTCTATGTGATAGATCTATACCCCCATCAGTCCAAAAATTAGTATTTGGTTACAAGTTCAATCAACCACTTAAACAAGGGGATATTCCATCATCTGTAAAGATTTTAACATTTGGTAACAAATTTAACCAGCCACTAAAAGTAGGAGATATTCCATCTTCTGTTGAAATATTATCATTCGGGACCTATTTCGATAAACCACTCATGAAAGGTGTTATACCCTCTTCAGTTAAAATTTTGACATTTGGTTATTATTTCAACAACCCACTAAAAGTAGGCGATATACCATCATCAGTAACAACTCTTTCTTTTGGTGCCCATTTCGATCGAACACTCAAACAAGGTGACATACCAAATTCTGTTCAAACACTAACATTTGGTTATTATTTCAATCAAAAACTTAATGAAGGATCGATTCCACTTTCAGTAAAGACACTAACATTTGGTGCCTATTTCAATCAACCACTTAAAGAAGGTCATATACCACCATTTGTTGAAATACTAACATTGGGTTATTATTTTTTCCAAGATCTTAAAAAAGGTGATATACCACCATCTGTAAAGAAACTAATCAAAAAAAAGAATTTTTAAAAATATATAAATTATTATTATTATAACTATATACGCTTTACCAAATATTAAAAATTGAATTATTAAAAGAGAATAAAATATGCATGTAAAATTTAAAGGTTTATAATTTGTTTGTGTTTAAATTTTTTTTTTTTATAAATTAAATAGTTTTATTTTTTGATCAATTTTATTTAAAACATTAAAACAAATGAAATTAATAAAATTAATAATGAAAATGATGAATAAATAATGCTTGAACTATTATTTACTTTATCTTGATTGTTTGGTTGTGATTGTGATTGTGGTTCAGAATGATCATATACATTTGATTGATGTTCAATTCCATTAACAATTAAATATGAGCTTTTTGGTTTGTTGATAACACATTCTAATTCATATGAGGAGCAGGTTATATGAGTACCGATACATTTCATAGATCCTGATTTGGTGGTGCAATTAACTGAACCATATGGTGAATCAGTGCTGCAAGTTGAACCTTTGTCAGTTTCACAATAAGTTGCACCATTACCCAAGCATTCGATATGTACGGAACTAGTAATTTCGAAACCATTTGAAGAATATTCGCATCTAACCTTTGGAGTACTGGGTGATGATGTTGGAGCGATTGTTGTATTTGGATAGTAATAAATCATATTTGGACCATAGTATAACAATTCATGGGTTGTTGTATTAAAGATTCTAATATCGTGGAAACCAATATAACCTTGTGGAGCATTACCAATAAAGTTGTATGAGTCAATGTGTATTAAATTGATTTTACTATAATAATTATGATAATTTGAACCAACTGTAATATTAATGCTTGATGGTTCATAGCCAAAGAAACCATTGCCAAAAACTGGTTCACCATTAATTGTAGTTAAAGTATTGTTTAAAAAAATTGGTGTATCGGTTGGTGTTGGTGTATCGGTTGGTGCATTGGTTATATTTGGATTGGATGGGTTGATATACATCATATTTGGACCATAGTAAAGTAATGAGTTAAAACTGTCAAAAATTCTAACGTCATTATAACCTGGGGTAACACTGGTGTAGTTTGAAATAGAACCATCAAAGAAAAATTGGTTTCTCCAACTAAAATAGATGGGTTGAAGATTATTCTCTGGACCATATTTAATATTGTAATCCCCTCCAAAATTACCAACACCAGAAACACTACCGTCTTCAGTTACATTAAGAACAAAGTCAAGTTTATATGGTGTTGAAGATGGTGGAGCTACAAAGCTGTGGTTACAGAAAACATTGAATCTATCAATCTTGGCTGGTTGGGAGTCACAATTAAAATAAGTATAATAATGTGATCTGGAGCAATCATCGTTGTTAGAAACAGCGAGAATATAGTAACCAGGATATTCGGAATGTGAAATGTTGAGGGATCTACCACATGTTGTTGGGAAGCAACTATCATTATAGAGTCTAATGGGAACTTGGCGACAATAGTCAAAAACTACAAAATTGTTGACATATTGAGAATTTGAATAATTGATAAATAAAATTAAACCTAAAATAAATGTTATAAATTTCTTCATTTTTATAATTATAATATTATTGAAAAAAAATAATAAAAAAAATATGAAAGAAAGAAAAAAAAAAAAAATATTTATTGATTTTTTTTATTTTTTTTTTTTTATTCATAATTTTAGTTTTCTAATTAATTTTTTTGATATCAAGAAATAAGTTTTTACATTATAACCAATTGTCTTAGAAAAGAAGGATTGGATGGTGTCATTTTCAATAAAAACTATTTTTATAAAAAAAAAAACTTTTAAAAAAAATAAAAAAAATTAAAATTTAAAAAAAAAATTTTACGAAACCATTTTGTTTAAAAAAATTGGTCAAAAGGAATAAAAAAAAAAAAAAGCAATTATTAATTCATTTAATCAATATTTTAAAAATAAAAATTATTTTTATTTTTATTATTTTTTTGAAAGTTTATGTATACATATATAAATGATTATGGAAAGAAAAGTTAAAGATTATTAAATTTGGTTGCTTTGATTGAATCTAAATCTTTTTTTGAAAAATTGATGTGTTGTAATAAAAAGTATGTTAGTTCCAAATTATCGTTTCTTATTGATGCATGGATAATTCTTTTTAAATTGGTGGTGTTATAGATTGAAGTGGGGTTATTTTTATCTTTAATTTTTAATATTGATGGTTTTTTAATGAGAATGGTTTTGAATACTGATATGATACCTTCATATGCTGATTTTATTAATAGATCATCAAAATATTGGTTGTTTTCTTTGTCAGATTCTAAAAAATAATCAAGTAGTTTTAATGGACAAAGAGTGATATTATTATGGTTATAATTTAAATGAATATCTGAATTAAAAACTTTGAGAAAAACATCGAAACGTCCACATTCCCATAAAAGGATTTCCCAGGTTGGATCTCTTATTTTAACTTTATATTTTTGATTGTTTGATGGATTGATACCTGATCTAATAGTTATTGCTCCTGAGGTAAATGGTAGATCATTATTGATAATTTCTTGATCCGATAAATCTTTTAACATCCAGTTAAGGAATTTATAAGTTTTTCGAGGTGGTAGTTTTTGAATAATTGACCCAAAGCAAAGTTCATTTTCAGAATTGTTTGATAGTGATATAAGTGTTTCTAATATTGATATAACTAAATCTTGTTCGCCTCTCTGTAGCCCATAGTAAAGATAATCGTTAAAATCATTTATACCAATATCATAAGTTATATAGAGTGATGGATCATTTAATGCTCTTTCTAGGTTTCTTAATTTAAAAATAGTGGGGTAGCCTTGATTTGGAATGATTTCAAACTTTTTTGAAGCACTTTTCATTAAATTTTCATATTTCTCTATTAGTTGTTCGTTGATATAGGGCCACAATGAATTTTTATCATTGTTTATTACATCTATATTTTCAAATAAATAGTTTAAAACTTCTTCCTTTTTAACAAGCGATATGGTTTCGTTGATATTGAATTGATTAAAACATTTGTGGTCTTTGAAGTTGGTGACTAGGTAATCAATAAGAACCATGTCATTTGTGGAAACTACATTTCTACTAATATACATTGTACGAATAATCTCGGTGCTACAATATGATGTTATAATTTGTTTTTGGAAATCTTTGCATGTGTCGCTATTTGAAATAAATAAGGATTTTTTATGAAGATTGTAAGTATCTATAAATAAGGCAATGGAATTTATTGGTGAATATTTAGATATATTTCTATTATTGTTAATTGAATCTGCTTTTGACTGTGCCTTAAAATAAATATAGTATAGTATTGGTTTGCAATATGGATTTTTTTGATCTCTATGTTTTGATTTATTAATTGAATAAAAGTATTTAAAAATTTTGTATATTATTGGTTTAAGATTTTGATCAGTTGATACATCATCTATTGTTGAGTTTAGTTGTTGTGTACTGAACTGATTTGAATCAATAGGGCCATTTAATTCTTGCATTATTTGGTTTTGTTTTTCATTTGGAGTATGCTTTTTAATTATGGTATTGTATAGTTTTATTAAGCTTTTGAATTTTTTTGAATATTCGAATGTTTGAATGGTTTCGTACACTGACACCATGTTTACTTTGATACCGATTGACTCTAAATACACTTGGATTTTGAATAGTTTCCCAAAATTTTCTTTAGAGACAAAATCACAATATTTTTTTAAAATCGATGTAATTGATCTCTGGTTTAGTTTGAATAGTGTGGTGTATGCTTGATATGCAGGAATATTACCACAGTCAACTATATGTCGTAACCAGTGTTCAGTGTTATCAAAACTGTGTGGGTCGAGGCTATCTTGGCAGTAATATGGATATGTTGAAAATAGTTGTGTAAAAAAATCTACATTCTCTTTTGTATTTTTGGTATTTTTTTTTAAAACAAACTCTGCTTCCTTAAAGTTTCTAATAAAATAGCTTTTACTTTTTATTTTATCTTTGTAGATTGCCTTTGCATTACTAAAGTTATTGAATATATATTGGGTACCTATTAAACGATTAGCTAAACATGTGGCTGAATTTGAAATTTGAAAAAATTAATTTGAATATTGTTTTATTTCTAAATACATTCCAGAATGCAAGTTCACCTTTGTTGATAGTGTTTTTTTCATTTCCTTCTGTGATTACTAATCGTGGTAGTTTCTTATTGAATGGGTTTATATTACTCTTGAATTGATTCTCTTCCAATAGATCTTGTTTTGCCTTTAAATAACTTTCGATTCTATTATAGATTACTTCTTTAGTTCCTCCAGAACCTAAATCCAATAGCTTTGATAGTGCTTGTAGTTTTCTATAGTCTGAGTTTTTTAAACTTTTAAATTCTTTTTTATATATTTCATATGTTATTTCATTATTGTTACTGTTATCGATATTTTCAATACTATTATCTGATTGATTTCTTTTTTTATTATTAATCATTTTATAAAGTTTTATAAATAATAATCTCAAAAAAAAAAAAAAAATGTGAAAAAATTAAAAAAAAAGTAAAAAAAAAAAAAAATTTATATTTATTTTTTTTTGCATAATATTTCGAAGAAAATAGTGAAGATATTCAAAAACAATAGAACTACCGATTTAATGGAAATTACATTTTGCAAACCAGAAAACCTCAATAAACAATATTTAATTGTATTTGTTTTAATGATATATTAAGTTATCAGTATGTTTTTTTTTTTTTTTTTTTTTTTTTTTTTTTTTTTTTTTTTTTTTTTTAAAAAAGTGAAGATAATTAAAAGCAAATGCTTTAAATTAATATGTTTTGGTGTACTTAAATGAGTTTTACCACACTGCATACAAGTTGGGCACGGTAACGTCAATTCGTGTCTGATTCGGAAAACTTGCTGAGAATGGGTTTCGAACCAGGTGTAATGTATTCATATGCATTTTAGAATTAAATGAATATTACAGTTATAACTATATCTCAACTAAATAATATATTTATATTTTCCTTTATTTTAAATAATTTATTTTTTAAAATTAAAAATTAAAAATAAAATAAAAATAAAAAATTAAAAAATTTAAAAAATAAAATTTAATTTTCAGTTTTCGGTTTTAGTTTTCACTAACAAATAATTGTATATTTATTTGATTATTAGAATTATTTATATTTATTATTTATCTATAACTAAAGTAGCTCCATCTACATTACAATTACCCAGGAATTCGTTCGACCACTTATATGCGGGGGAGCAATGATAGCCAAGTTGGGCACGGTAATGAATTAAGCAATCCCTGTATCACCGGGAAGAATTTTCTATATTAAAAAATTTGCGCATGCTGGGAATCGAACCCAGTTCGCATCCGTGGCAGGGATGCATCATACCACTAGACCACATGCGCTATCTGATATTTTTTTTGAAAGATGCCACGTAAGCACGAGAATTCACAATAAAGCAAGAGAATTTTTTTTAAAAGAAATACCAAGCAAAAAACCTTCTGGTTGTAATTTATCTAAAACCCAATTTAAATATTGTTTGTTTCTCGGATTCTAACTTATTATTAATAATATAATTATATTTAAAAAAACTTTATTAATTTTTAATTTTTATAATTTTAATTTTTACAATCAATATAAATAAAGGTGTTAATAACACATTTTAAATTTTGTATAAAGGTTTTAATTTACAAAGATTCTTTAATTTATTTACAAGCAGTTTTGGTATTGTGGTTTTATAATTTATTTGTCTTTATCTTTTAATTTTATGTATATAGATAATAGTATTCAAAGATTATTACATGGTTATGGTAACCCTTTTAATGCTTTAATACATAAACATAAATCTTCAAATAATACTGTAAATGGGCCATCTACTTCTTTTACAGTGATAATACATTTTTCAATTGAAATATCAATCGGATCACCTTGTAATTCTGGTACTGTTAATTTTTAAATTAAATAAATATAATTAATAAATAATTTAAAATAAATAAAATAAATATAGTGATGTAGCGTTAATTCCAGTATTCTCAACTACTTTAAGAATTAGCCTCTAGAATCTCATTCAGGTTAAGTACCTTAAATTCTCAGTCAAAAACTTCAGAGGTTTTTATTTTAACTATATAATAAACTGCAATTTCATTACACATATTATTTATTTGTTTTTTATATATTACATTTCAAATTTTCAAATTTAACAACTTGGCAATGGAGTGAACTTGATATTTTGTATTAATTAAAACTTGAACATAATATTCTTTCAAAGATATCGTATAATTTGTGGAGTTTTTTTTTTTAAAAAGTGAAGATAATTTAAAAGCAAATGCTTTAAATTAAACACACTGCTTTTTTTTTTTTTTAAAAGTGAAGATGATTCTTAATGATGTATTAAGTCATTAGTTTGTATATTGTTTTTTTGTTTTTGTTTGGTATGTGTTTAATGAGCTACTTGCAAAATTGTCCATATAAAAATATCTCACCCATACTAAAAAATTCATTCATGTTTATCGGTTTTCTTTCATAAAAAAATGAATGAATTTTTTAGTATATAAAAAAAATATATTATAACTAAAAATAAAAAAGTTTTAGTTCAAAACCTTTTTAGAAAAGTAACAAGCTCCAACCAAACTATCGGCACATCCCTCATTACCACAAAATAAATTATAATAAAAGCTAAAAAAAATTATGCTTTAAAAATTAAATATATTATTTTTTTATTATCTTCAGTGTTTTTTTTTTGCAAATAAATAATTTAAAATTTTATATTGAATAATAACTATTTATTGTTGAAATTTATTATGTGGTTTTTTTTTTTTGAGATATTTTTGAAGATATTACCTTTTTTTTTGAGTCAAATTATATTTTTTTTTATTTTTTTTTATTTTTTTTTATTTTTTTTTTTAAATTTTCAAAAAATATAAAATAAAAAAAAAGTATAATTTATAAATAATAAATATATACAATACAAATGAATAATAAAGATTCAGGTGATTTATATTTAAAAGTTTGGAGAAATGTTATTATTCGAAATCAAATATTAAAACATTTAAAATTATTCATAAATAAAAATATAACTTTTAAATCAAGTGCCGAGTTTAAAGATTTTCCAAAAAAAGGATACTTAACAAGTATAACAATAGATTATGATGAAGAGTTTGACTTTACCACAATACCATCATCAGTAACAACTCTTAAATTTGGGGAAGAGTTTAAAAAAAAACTTAAATTCAATAGTAAATTCCCATGCTCAATTAAAGAATTAGATTTAGGCTATCATTTCAACCAACCACTTAAAGCAGGCGATATCCCAAGTTCTGTAGAGATATTAACTTTTGGTTGGAATTTCAATAAAACAATTAAACAAGTATCTATACCCCCTACTGTAAAGAGATTAACATTAGGTTACAAATTCAATAAACCATTGAGGGCAAAAGACTTACCACTAGGTATAGAAATATTAACATTTGGTTATAAATATGACTATCCACTTGAACCAGATGTGATACCAGCTTCAGTTAACAATTTAACCTTGGGTTGGTGCTTCAATCAGCCACTTAAACCAGGTGATATACCACGTGGAGTTAAAACATTAAAACTTGGTAACTGTTTTAATCACCCATTGAAACAAGGCGACTTACCATCTTCAATCGAAACATTAACATTTGGTGACGATTATAATCAACCACTTAGAGCAGGCTCCATACCACCTTCAGTTAGAACCTTATCACTTGGTTATTTTTTCAATCAAATACTCGACGAAAATTCTATTCCCTCAGAGGTTCAAGTGCTAAAATTTGGCCGTTGTTTCAATCATCCACTTAAAAAAGGTGACATACCAACATTAGTTACAAACTTAACATTTGGTAATTGCTTTAATCAAGAGCTTAGGGATAGATCCATACCAACATCGGTTACAGCTTTAACATTTGGTGAGAACTATAATCAAAGACTTTATGAAGATTCTCTACCTCCATATTTAGAGCACCTAACATTTGGTCTTTATTTTAACCAGCCAATAAAACAAGGTCATATTCCACCATCTCTCAGAGTATTAACATTTGGTAAACTTTTTAATCAATCAATAAAAGATATCCCAGCAACAGTTGAAATAATCTACAAAGATAGAATCCCCTTCTTAGACTTTTTATAAAAATAAAATATTATAACAAATTTAATCAATAAAATTAATAATTAATAATATTATTTATATTTTTACTATAAATAATTAATTAAATTTTTTAATTAAACATAAAATGTAAACACCTAAAAAAAAAACATTTCAGATATTTTCAGAAATTAATAATTTAAAAAAAATTATAAAATAAAGATTTAAATTAAAAAAAAAAATTGCTAAAAGAAAAAAATTATTATTTTTGTGCTGTTATTTTTCATTTTTTGGTTAATTTTATAAAATGAATAATTTTTTATAAAAAAAAGAATATGGAAACAATAACCAATATTTTTATTTTTTAAAATATTTTTTTATTAATTTTTATTTTTTTTGCTTTTTTTTTTTTTTAAAAGAATACCACATAAAGAATGGGTGGAGAAATTTGTTCCTTGTTATTTTTAGATTTAAAAAATAGTGTGTGAACCTTTAGTAATAACTATATTTTATTTTTATACAAAGAATGTATTTAATAGTTCTTCTGAAGCATTATCAAATGATTAAATAAAAAAAATATATATTAAAATAGAAATTTTAAAAATTTCAAAAAACCCATAAACCAGCACTTTTTAAAAATCCAATTTTAATTTTTTCTTCATAATTGATTGTTTTTTTTTTTTTTGTAAAAGAATGTGATTCTTTTTTTTTAAAAAAAAATATTAAAAGGGATATTCCTAAATTTCATTTGACCAAAAATTTAATTGAAATTCGGGTTAAATTTTTTTAAAGTAAATTTTATATTTTTATTTTAAAAAAAGTTTCAGAGTATAAATAAAAATTTTTTTTTATCGCCAATAATAAATATTTCAAAATAATCAAATAAATAAAAATAAATTTTATTAATAATTATAATAATTAATATAAAATAATAAATAAAATGTCAGAAGTTCCAAGTTTAACTTATTCCAAAGCTAGAGGTTTTGCTCAATTTGCACGTGTTGCTCTTTCATATTTAAATGTTCCTTTTGAAAATGTTACTGTTGAAACTATTGATGATGCCTTAAGAGAAAAATTACCATATGGTCAACTCCCAATTTTCAGGGGTAATATAAATATATTTATAAAAAAATAAAAAATAAAAAAATAAAAATTAATTTAAAATTTAATTAAATTAGATGGTGACTTTGTTGTTGCTCAATCACAAACCATTGCTCGTTATATCGCTAAAAAATATAACTTTGCTGGTAAAACCCTTCAAGAAGAAACCAAAGTAGATGAAGTCATCAGTGCTATTCACAGTGACTTTTTCACTGCCCTCAATCCAGCTACTTTAGATGTAAGTAAATCTTTATGGCGATTCATTTTTTTAAAAAAAAAAAAAGATATTAATATCTTTATTATTATAGAAAGAAAAACTTAAAAACAATACTTTCCCAAAAATCTTTGGTAAATACAATAACGAATTAAAAGAAAAGAAACATTTAGTTGGTGACTCATATACCATTGCTGATTTATATGTTTACGTTGCTTTTGAATATATCCAATTCCGTGGTTTTTCTGAAGATGTTAATGCCACTCAATACCCACAACTTGAAGAATTAAAGAAATATTTTGAATCAAATGCTGGTGTCCAAGAATACCTTAAAAATAGACCAGAAACTCAAGTATAAATAAAACAATTATTATATAAAACTAATTAATAAATAAAACAATTATTATATAATATTAATTAATAAATCTTTTTTATTTGTCTAAAAAAAAAAAACTTTTATTTAATTTTTATTTTAAAAGGAAATTAAATAGTACACTTGGTTGAGGCTTTTTGTTCTTTATACAATATGAAATTTTTAAAGTTAACAAGACAAATACTAAAAATAAAATAGGGAATTACCATTTTCCCAAACCGATAGACCAATGGGAAAGCTACTTAACTTTATTGATGAAATACAAATATGTATAAAATTTAATATAAATAATGTATCTAAAATTTAATGAGCTACATTTTCATTAAACACAATATAATTATTTATTAGTTGTTTATTTTTTATACTTTGTTTTACTTTTATACTTACACCTTATTTAATCTTTTTTTTTTTTTTTTTGATTTTAATTTTTGATTTATTTATTTTTTATAATTAATTAAAAAATATTATTTGAATAATTAAATTGAAATTATTATTAAAATAAAATAATATAGTTATTATACTTTCCTTAATGTGGACTTTTAGATTAAATTTAATTATAAAAACTATTATTATAAATCTATAGTGGCTATATTAGTTAAAAATTATCATTTTAATTTTTAATAATGATGTTCGCAATCTCGAAATTTCGTGAGTGTGGTAAATTTCATTTTTTTTAATTAAAATTTTTTATTCCTTTTCATAATATCTTCAAATACAAAATAACAATATACAGTTTAATATTGGTTATAGCTCTTTATTAGTATTAATGATAAAATTAAATAGCATAATATTTGTTATATAGATAAAATAATTTACATATCTCTTTTAGAAATTACTTTTTTCGAAAATGGATAGTTTATTAAAAGACTTTTGTATTTCCATTGTTACTTTTACTATATCATATTTTATCATGACCATAAAAATCCCAGATGAATATAATTTCATTTACATTATATAAAAATAATAATTTCAATTCATATATAATTTTTATATTTTAATAATAACTTCAATTCATTTATATTTTTTATATTTTAAAAAAATAATAATTTCAATTCATATGAAAAAAATTTTTTTAATTTTCAAAAATTTCTATTATATTTTTTTTTTTCACCACACAAATGCAATAATTATAATAATTTAAACCATATAAGATGCAAGTAAGTAAATTAAGATAAAATAACAAAAATATTTAGAAATAAAAGGAAAAAATCAAAATTACTGACACAAATTAATTTATTAAATAATAGGTTGACCAACTAAAATTTCAGGATCTGTTCACAATACATAATGTTCCATCGAAATCAAAAAAGAACTGGACTCAAAGAGTTAATTATATCAGCTCAAACCCCATAAGGTTAAAGATTCAACCAGTTTACAAAAGACCACCCGAATCAAATCGACACTAGTGAATTTTATCATTCTTATCAACTATTTAATGAATATCAGACATTGTTCTGGCCAATCAATAATGGTATCATTGAAAGGTTTTAGATAAAGAAATGATTTAGTAGTTCCTATTCGGCATCTTAGAAAGAATACAGAAACAACTGGACACAGGTGACAATTTTAGTAAACCGGTCAAGTCTAATTATATAGCTGTGTTTTCAATTGATAGTTTTCTATCCAGCCACCCAGACTCATTATTTTAAGTTAGTTCTAGGATAACTGGTATAGTAAATATAAATAGATAATGCACCAACTTTGAATTATTCAGAAAGTAAAACTGAGATCAACTATCAATATTTCCAACCAGATGCTCAATGGGAAAATCCAACTCCAAAATTTCAAGTTACTGAAGAAAAAGCATCATTCAGAGTTTAACACGATTCCTGAATTTGCATAAGAAATAAAGAACCAATTGTCAATAATAACACCAATGCACCAAAGATTAATGTCCACCGTCATCCAGTTTCAGTCTTTTTTGTTGAACCAGCCGTTCACTTTGGAAACTATTCAAGCTATGCTCAAATTGTATTCGTAACCTCTTTGATTTCAGTTCTGCTCCAATCAGTTATATTAATAATATTTATGGTCACCTATTACCTATCCTATCTCTTATTACCCATCTCATAAACTACATAATCACCTTTACATCACAATATGTAATTGGCAATCACCTTTTCAAATTATTAATCAATTATCAATCAAGATAATAGCAATTAAAATTATAGTAGTCTAATAATAATATCAATTTACACTAGTCAATAATTATAATGACCAATTAAAATAATTAAATTAATATTTAACAATTTAAAAGTATAAATAGTTCAATTTAATTATTATCATCATTAAAAATAATATCAATTTAAAAGTATAAATAGTTCAATTTAATCATCATCATTAATATAATATCAATTTATACTAGTCAATAATCATAATAACCAATTATAATAATTAAATTAATATTTAACAATTCAAAAGTATAAATAGTTCACTTTAATTATTATCAATTATAAGTTAAAATTAATAATAAGAAATTAAATTACTCCATCATCATTGTTTTCACCTTCATCAGCATCAGCATAAGCATAAGCATCAGCATTCATCATTGTTTGTCCTTCATCATAATAATCAGCTCAGAATTCAGCATCACCTGCATCATCATCAGCATCATCATTCAGCATCAGCATTCATCCTGCCCCTCATCAGCATCATTCAGCATTCATCATCAGCATTCATCTTGGTCCTCATCATCATCATCATCATTACCAGCACTCATCTTGGTCCTCATCATCACTATCATCATCAGCATTATCATCATCAGCATTCATCTTGCCCCTCATCAACATCATCATTCATCATTATCATCATTATCATTCATCATCATCAGCATCATCAGCATTCACCTTGGTCCTCATCATCATCAGCATTCATCGTCATCATCACCATCATCAACAGCAGCATCATCATCATCATGAAATTTTATATCAATCCTAAAGCCAGAAAAAAAACTTTTAGTTAATCTATAATAATTAATAATTTTATAAAAAAAATAATAAAAAAAAATATAAAAAAATATAAATATTGATCAATATTTAGCTTTAGCATATAACACTAAGAGTTAAAGATTTTAACTTCTAAATTTTTATTTACAATTTTATTTACATTTTTTATTTACATATAATAGTATGTTAAGTATCTCTACTGTAACATATATTTGGTTGTTTTTTATTTGGTAAAATAATATTATTATTATATTTTTATACTATTTGATTAGTTGTAAGCTGCATCAAAACTATATATTCTTTCCTTACGAGAGTAAATAACTGTATCTTTATATTTGAACATTTGAATACGGTGGTGTGGAATTACATCATATTCAAACTCTTTGAAACTGGAACTTACTAAACCATCGAAACGATCTTCATAATATATTGTAAAATTTTCAACCTTGCTGTTGAACTCCCATTTAATTCTATTGTAAACTTCTTCGCTGGATGGTAATCTTTCTTTTTTGATATTTTCGGTTTCTCTTTTAAGAATCTCTTCTTTTTCTGTTGAACTTAACTTTACAGCTTTTTCAACATTGTGCTTTATATGTTTATTTTCTTGCTTTTCTAATTCCTCCAAAATTTGATCAACTGATTTTATTTGATTGTTTGATGATAATTTACCATTGGTATTTTTTAATAATGGTGTTGATTTTGTTTGTGATACATTGCCACTATTATTGCTGCTACTGGTGTTGTTGTTTTTATTAGCTGATGATGAGCCAACACCACCGGATGATCTACCACTGTTACCACTAATACATTGTTCTAATTTATCTTGTTGTTGTAATGAATATTCGATTTCATCTTCATAATCACTATAGCTGTCATCTGAATAGCCATCATCACAATATTCATACATATTGAAGTTTTTAGTATAAGTTGGATAGTTGAAGAAAATTTGAGTTGATGCCATGATTATTATATATATGAATATGAAATATTAAAATTATTTATGTTTTTATTTATTGATTTATTTATTATTGATTATTATTTGAAGTGATGAAAAATGAAAATGAAAAAATTTATTTATAAATATTTTTTAGTTTAATGATTCTAATTTTTTTAACAAAACACAAATTTGTTTCAGTCTATTTTTTATTTTTTTATTTTTTTTTTTTATTTTTTTTTTTTTAATTTTTATTTTTTAATTAATTTTAAAATTCTTTTAAAATTTTTTTTAAGCAACAATCACAGAAATTTATACGAATTCCCAAATAAATTACCAGTTTAATTTAAAACAATATAACAAAATATAATTTAATTTTAGATTTTAATAAAATGAAATAAAAATAGTAATAAGTGTTATTATATTAACCATAGTTTTTATAAAACCCCCCCAAAAAATTTTTTCTCCCAAATTTTAAAAAAAAAAAAAATACACACACATTTATTCATATATATTTTCACATGAACACACACACACACTCAAGCACATTCACACAGAATCCCAAAAAAATTTAATATAATAATATTTATTAATCTGTTTACAAATTTATTTTTTAATTAAAATTTTTTTTTTATTAAAATAAATTTTATTTTTGTTTATCTTTTTTCTTTTTTTAATTTTATTTTTTAAAATTGTTTTTTTTTTTAATTACTAGTAATAAAAATATTAATTATAAATAATGGAATTTAATATAAATAAAATTGGGAAACAAAGTTCACCAGGTAAATCGATTTTAAAACAAAATTATTTAAAAAGTTATAATAATAATAATAATAATAATAATAATAATAATAATAATAATAATAATAATAATAATAATAATAATAATATTAATAATAATATTAATAATAATTTTACAGATGAAAATGAATTGGTTAATAATATAACACCAACTAAAAAACAATTTAATGAAAATGAATTGTTTAATAATATAACACCAATTCATCCCCAACAAAAATCACCTACAAAAAACAAAGTTTCCATATCAAATGAATCAGTTACGGTTCATCGATATCAACCAAAATCACCAATAAAAATTAAAAAATTAAAAAAACCATTCCCATCAAACAATAACAACCATTTTAAAATTGATAACAACTGTGAAAACAATGAAACAAATGTAACAATCCAAGAAGCAGAATCGTTGGATGAAAAAGAGGACCCCTACCAATCATCTATAGTAGAGGAAAACTACAATAATAATAATAACGAAAATGTTAAAATTATTAAAAAAAAACCACTTTTAAATAAAATTAAAAAATGTATTGAATATCCAATAAATAAATTCGATTCATTTCAAGAAGAGTTAACAATTTTTATTTATAAAAACCAACAATACTCTAAATATTTTATTTATTTTATTGCTGTTCTACTTAATGTTTTATTAATAGGATATTCATTGGGCTTCCTAGGACCCATATTTGGTTTGGTTGTGGTGACAGTGGGCATTACTAACGCGATATCTTTCTTTAAATCAGTAAAGACCTATCAACTATACAGATATGAGGGCAACTCATTTCAAAGTCCAAACATGTCTCTAATTGAGGTCGAACATGAAGGATCCATTGATAAAATCCCAACACTGCATGTTTGGGAACCAAGTAATTATATATTTATATCATAGATTTTATTTAGTATTAGCTACTAACCCTTTTTTTATCAATATAGAATTCCCATCTAAAATATTATTTACTTTATTTAATCCATTAAATATTATTATAATGTCCAAAGCAGGTCCAAAGATTGAAGATTTTATTTGTTTCTTCTGTATCTCCTTCTCCATTTCAATAATGGTTAGGTTTTTAATCAAAATGTATGAAGAAAAAATCAAAGACGAAAAAATACTACATAATCAATTAGTCAATGAATATAATCACTATATGAGAGCAATACCTTCAACAAATGATTAATCTAACCAAAGCAATACAAATAACAATAAAAATAAAACAACAATAATAAATAAATAAATAAATAAATAAATAAATAAAAGCTTTTTTTTTTTTATATTTGATTTTTTTGTTTTGTTTTTTTTTTTTATTGATTATCCAAATGTGATTGATGAAAAAAACAAATAAGATATTCATTTTTCAGTTTATTGATTATTTTTATTTTTATTATTATTATCTATTATTATTTATTATTTATTATCTATAAATTTTAAAATTTATTTCATCTTGTTTTCTTCTTTCTTCTTCTAATAATTGTTTTTCTCTTTTTTTTTTTGGTGAGGAAATAAATAAATCAATTACATTTGGGAATATGATAAAAAAGTCTTTGCTAAGACAATGAATGAAAATAAGGCAACTAAACCAGCTGGCATGAATTTTTGAGAGTTATAAAATCTTGAACCCATAATTAAAAGCAATACAAATGAAAGGAAAAGTGTTAATTGTGTACCTAATCTTCTATTGGTGACTGTTAAATTTGCACTATAGCCAACTGCAGCTCCACTTAATACACCCATAACCAATGATGGCATGCTACCTGCTTTTAAATATCCAATAATACCGCCCTAATTATAAAAAAACAAACAAACAAACAATAAGAAATGGATTAATACTTTTATTATTATTATTTTTAAAACATATATCAAATGGGTTTAAACTTACAATTGCTAATAAAACTGCATATGCATAAACTAAAGCTGACATTTTTTTATTTATATATATTTTTTATTTATTTATGCACAATCTCTTTTATTTTTTAAATTAAAAAAAAAAAATTATATTTTTTTTTAAAAAAATTTTTTATTTTTTTTTTTTTATTTATTTATTTATTTTTTTTTTATAATAGTTACAAAAATAAAAAAATCTTTGGATATTTTTTAAAAAAAATAAATATAATATACAAAAAAAATAAAACGAATTGATATTAGGTTGCCCTTTCAATATTTATAATTTTAAAAGAAAAATATTTTTTTTTTTTTTTTTTTCAGATAGTTCATATAGATCTTGTTCCCCCTCTTCAAATAACTTACCATTAATTTTTTTTTTAAACTATACAATTTCTTTAATTTATAATGATAATCAAACAAATTTCAAATCAGTTTTTATATAGAAAAGGTATCATCTATTTTTAAAATGCAAAAACCTATATGTTCGAAATTGTTTGAAATATAATGTTTACTGTAACATGATAATATTGATAAAGAGGCAACCCCAATAAATGGGTTCGATTAATAAAAAGTTATGGATACCACTAATAATTATGAATTAAGTTGGTTTGAAAATAATTTCTGTTTTAACTCCTTAAATCCAAGTGGTAAATGGTTTCGGGTGTAACTTTATTAATATCATGATTCGGACATTGGTCACTGTTGATATTGCTAAACATGCTTTCACTCTACTGATTACAATAAACATAATTTAATAAATTATCCTTATTTTTACTGGCATCCTATTAATAATAAAAGTTTATAATATATAATTTACAAAATAATAATGTTATTTATAGTTTTTTTTAAATATTTTTTTTATTATTTTTACTACTATTATATTTCAGTTTTTTTTTTTTTTAAAAAAAAAAATTATATTATTATCATTTGATTTATATTATTGTTTATTGTTAAATTATTGGTGTAAAATTTTTTTTAAAATTTTTTTTTTTTTTAGATTTTTGGTATTATTATTATTATTTATATTAAGGTTAGTTTATAATCTGTTCCAATAAGTCCAGCCTCTGACGAAGTTGTAGTCTGTTAAAATTAAAAAAAAAAAAAGAAAGAAAATTAGTAATTTGTTTTTTTAATAATAATATTAATATTAATAATAATTAAATAATTACCTGGGAAGTTGGAAGTTGGACCAACAGCAGTAACAGCTGGTGAAACATCACGAAGAAGAGTTGAAGCAACACGTTTAACATCACTGACAGAGATTTCATTGATACGAACGTAAACTTCATATGGTGATAAACGACGACCAAGAGTTAAAACTTGACGACCGATACCTTCACAGATCTTGCTGGTACCATCATATTGCATTAAAGTAGTGGCAAGGAGTTTTTGTTTATTACGTTCAACTTCGTTTTTGTTGACAGATGAACCAATACGTTGCCATTCTTTTAACATTTCAGCGACTAAATCATCAACACGTTCTGGTTGACAGATACCATAGTTACCAAAGAGACCGGTATCTTGATAACAGGTGAAGAAAGTTGAGTAACTTTCAGCAAGATTTTCAGTGGCAACGATTTCACCGAGGTTTGAAGCAATGTTTTTACCGGCGGCGATACCTCTGCTCCAGCTACCAATCATGGTTTGGATTAATTCTAAAACAAAGTAGTCTGGGTGGTTCCATGGAAGAGCTTTAACGGCAACAGCAAAGTGGACTAATGGTTGGCTGTCATCACGAACACGTAATTCTGAACCAATAAAGTCGTTGGTGATAACTGATCTCTTTTGGTCTTTGCTGACATCTGATGCTTTAACAGATGAGAATTTTTCAGCGACTTGTTTAACTAAATCTTCGTGGTTGACGGCACCAGCAGCAGAGATAACTAAACGGTCACCAGTGTAGTTTTCTTGAAGGAATTCTTGGGTTTGTTCACGAGTGATTGGTTTAATGTTTTCGACTGGACCTAAAATAGTTCTACCTAAAGCTGAACCTTGGAAAGCAGCTGAGTGTAATTGGTCAAAGATAACTTCGTCTTCTTTTGATTCAATGGAATTGTATTCACTT